TTAACGAGCAATTACACTCTCATTGGAAAACGAGTAGATGCTCTGAAGCTTAAGGACTCCTCTTCTATTTATTTCAAGTAGAAGATTAGACATTGGCAAATTATAAAATTGAAGCAATCGAGATAAAACGAAGGAAATATTTGTAATCATTCGCGCAAACATACTCAATTCTCTTTACAAGCTTACTTTCAATTTGAAACACGTTCGTTCCTCTATTTGTCCTCGGTCTATCTAAAGATATGGTCAACAGGATAAGTCTAGACAAAGTTCGTCCGGTTTTCGTCGATGTCTTTGGGTTCAAAGTCGACTCAAAAATCCACACAATATAAATATAGGACAAAAGAGACACTCGTGGCGATAATTCGAGTCTCCAAGCGAAGAGCCGAACAAACTCGACTCGTTGTTTAAAACTGCGTGGGTTGCATCAGCTCTTTACGCGGCAACTGAATACAGAATCTCGAACTGAAGGAAATTAATATCGCCCCGACGTTAACGACCATAAATGAGAATCGATAGCGTTCCCATTAGCGAGATTTTTAAAGAGTTCTTTTCATTAGGAGAAGACCTAATGACAAAGATCAATTCTTCGTCTTTCTATTTTTTCTTTCTTTTTTTTTTTTTTTTGTAAGAAAATGATGCTCCAAATCAATTACATATATTAAGAGCAACAAACTACGTATTTACCCGGCCATGTTGAGAATAGAAAAAGAAAGACGAAGAAACAGAGAAGATGAGCGCACATCTCGATGATGCAAAGTTCACGTAGATAATTCCTGTTTGTTCCGAGATCAAGGAAATGTTAGATAATTATATCGGCTGTAGTAACATGCTGCTGCGTGCTCCCTCGAACACAATGCCACGCGTGCACATGAAAATGGTTCCATGAAAACTGATTCTATGGAAAATCCATTGTCACAGAACACCGAATCCATGTTAACTTCACGTTACAACTTTGACGTCTCTATCTGTCTCAGTCAACGAATTTTTATCTACCGTGGCCTTTAACAAAACTTATTCGAGATGCATAAACGAGGAATTAAATACGACAGCTATCCGAAGGAATTCATTACGGAAAAAGACGAATTTGTTAAAAATTGTTCTCGCGACACTAAGTGAAAAGACTCGCAAAAGATCTAAATCCAATTCTCTAGTTAGATCTTTCTTAACTTTTACATTTACAATTTCCCGAATTTTCCGAACAATGTAATACATGGTTAAACGTATTCGTGTAAGTCGAAATAAAGCTTCATTGAAGATTCAAAATGCTTAATAAAAATGAAATGGCCTCCCTTGCGTCTGTAGACCGTGCCCCAGACTCTGCTTTTACGATTAGTTCAACTGCTAGGCAACCTTTACGCGTCTGCTCATTGACTGGCTGCAAAGTAAGCGTTCGTGTTCTGACACCGCGGGAATTCAGGACTATGCCCCCGGTCAAATTTAGTCTTGCCGAAATCTTAGTCAGCGACTCGGTCACAGGCTTCTCGCGCGACCGTTTTACGACTACCATCTTTTTGTCTCTTTCTCTCTCTCTTTCTCTCTCTCTCTCTCTCTGCTCCTCCTCAAATAGAGAAGGAAGCTTTTGTCGACCGAGCATAAACGTTATACGAGAATATGGGTTTATTCATAAAAGGGAACAGCCTGTCTGTCGGAGACACGAACGGCGAGATGGATATACGATAGTAATAAAAATAATGATAATTTCTCCAATTTCTTAAATTATTTTTGTTCTCTATAAGAAAATACGGATTCGGAAAGCAAGAGAGATTTGCTAAATTCTGTTCATTCTGAATTCTTTGTTATTTTATTACACTGTCAAAGAACTAAGTCTACCTATAGCACAAGGAATTTGAAATTACAAGTACAAATTACAAGTTTCATAGATAAACGTATTAAATTTGTACCTAATTTTTTTCAATCAGAGGCACTTTTTAATTAACTATAGTGAGCTGATACGAGTAAATCACGAGTTGATACGTTCTATGCAAAGCAAACGTGACTATACTTTGACATTCCTGCTACACGTATAATGATAAAATTGAAGGTAAGAAGCTTCACTAACAGATAAACGATGTGTTCTTGGAAAGAGATACATGTTAATTAACTAGTTCACATTAACGTTAAAACGATAATTTCTGCTCTTTGATTACAGAAAATAGAAATTTTTACGTTCTTATTAATGTTGAAAATAATTGAGCACGTTATGATATCATGCTAACGTAAAAGTGCAAAGAGTGTTAATATTATACTAAGCGCACTGGTGAAACGGTTCTTAAATAATAATGACAACACGTCTGCGGAAACAAATTTGCTTTAAGCGTGAAACATTTCTCAGGTTATAAATAGATAGACGAAAACCTTTTACACGTAAAGACAAACTTGAGGCAGAAACAAAACCGTGGAAAGTTACGCGGTTCTACTTTTGGTCATAGGTACGATAAATTATTAAATTCTCAATATCTAATTGGAAACTTTATATTTTACTAAAAACAATTATTCCCGGAATAATAAAATTACATTGAAAAACCAGACTCGGATGGTAAATTTATACTATTATTTTATTATTAATCTGGTTATTATATTACTCGATTATTAAATAAATCCATAATGCATCGTTTCATATCCAGAAACCTAATTGGTTACCAGATATCTGATTCTGACTAACAATCGAATCGATATTACACGTATAAAAGAAATCTCCATGAAAAAATGATCGCACGTAAATATTTCATTGTTTTGCTGAAACTTAGTCGATTCAAGCTGAACACGGAGTTTATCTAAAAGGTTCATTGCTAAAGCGTTTCCTTGCCTGCGCCATCTCAGCCAGAGTTTAAAAGCGCAAGCCAGATAACGGAAGTTTCCAGCTCGGTAATCGGAAATTTCGAAAACACTCCCGCCTCAACTTTTGAACTAATTTAGAAATCGAGATACGTACGAGTCTCGTTATTGTTATTGCTTTAAACGTGCTTGACGAGAAGACCAGATAATATCATTACACTGACAATCAATCTGGAAAAAGCGTGCGTCAATGTGGCAATCAACAACGTCACCTTCATTTCCATACGTAACGTCGATTCATCGATACGATTCTTTATCGACGGTAGATTGGTGAAAACTTGTCAAACGACGTTCCTGTTTATACGACCAACAAAATTCCTATCGAATTAATTGATAACACGCTCGTTCTACCAATTGACGCATTGCGATACATACAAAGGAGAACAAGATATCGAGACTGGTATTGTTTCAAAATATGATTAGGGTAGAACAGAAATATATACCTCTTTGTACTAGGTCATGACACACGAAATACGTATTTGTTCTTTTAGATTAAAATAAATATATATTAGATTAAACAAATTTCGCTGTAAAAGTGTATTGGTTTTTAGGTAGAAATCTAGATTGTTATCATGCGTAGCTTTGGCCAGACAGAATGACTGATTACAAGATTATAAGATTACAAAATATAAAATTATAAGATAAGAGGACGATTCGTATTTCGTGCGAATATAAATTCATCGGAATATTGGCAAACAGCATATTAAAAAATTCCAAGCAAAAACACACGGAACGAAGGAGCATAAATCGATATTCAATTCTATTTTCTAAACTATCCGAAACATTCAAACGAATATTTCATTTGTGACAAACAAATATAACATCGCCAAAAGCGGGTATATACATATCCATTTGAGGCGAATATCCGAGCAAAAAGAGGTTCCCAAGGAAAAGGGCGGAACGATGAGAGCAAAGGGAAAATTTTATCGCAACAAAGGACGATAACTCCTTTCTAGCGAATGCATTCCCCGAGAACGCCACGATAGAGTCAGAGAAAATAGCAAACGTCCCTTCGTTCTGTTAAAAAGAAAAGGTGAATGAAGAAAAATTTTGTCATAAAAAAAAACTCACGAATATCAGTTGACCGGTCGATAAGGTTGTTACGAAAAAACAAAATAAAAAGAATAAAGTAAAGAAAGAAAGGAACAGCGACGGCGCATTCGAGCTGATTACTCGTAGCTTTAGATAAGATTTATACAAAAGACGGCCTTGGTAGATTTGATTGGAAGGAACGAAGACAATGATCTATGAAATCATATCTAGATTATCGACGAGAAGCGTGAACGAAGAAAATACCATATTGAAATATATCAATTTCTTATGATACGTTTCATATTAATTACGAGCTTGTTGATGATAAGATGCGAAGGACGATCAAGATGCGGGAAATCGTTCCGCGATTCGATTCACAGTTTTTCGTTCGTTTCCCTGAGCTATGTCGTCACAACGAAGACGAACAACCATCGACGAATTTTCGTAAGGGGAAATTATCTTGCTAAGATAAAGCATATATGTATCAATTTTCCACAACACACAAATGGTAGTTCAGGAAGCATCGAGATCGCCACGAGATAATTAGAAGATTCTTATTACGAACAATACTATTGTATCAATTAAACAAGTAGAAGCGAAGAAGTTAATTTTATTCCAAAAATATATGTACTTCAAGGCAAAAACGTTTCGCAGATGAGAATTTTATGCAGATAAAAGGTTATTCTAGTGGCTGCGAACTTTTTCATTATCAAATTTTTATCTGCTTCCGTTTTAAATAAATTAAAAGTCAATTTCGATTAAATAAACCGTCCAAGCGTTAAATAATTGTAATTTAGATAATCGAACCGTACTAGTTGTAATCTGTAGTCATAAAGAAGTCCGTAAAAAAAACCCAGTCTGTGGAATGACTATTTCAATTAAATTTTATTTGTCGACTTTATATATACAGAGGAAAGTAGGCATTGAAATACACACTAGTTACACGAGGCTTTTTAACGATAAATAGCGAAACTTCTTTCATAACACGAAGAAAACCCTTAATCTCTTCGTTGTATAAATAAAGTTATTTCCTGCATTGTACTATAATTTTTTGCTTAACAATTTTGTGATAGATATTTTCAGCTAAGAAATTATTATAAATTCACATAAGAAATTATTATGTAGCAGAAATGGATACTCCAGCATCAAATTGCCATTAGGATTAAACGAAGAAAACAAGATCGATAAGAAAAATTACAAACAAATAGAGTCCGAAGATCCAACAAAAGTATTCCAGAAACTTCCTCAACAGCACTGCCAAAAGCGAAATCTCTATTGAGGCAAGCGGGAAACGGTTCCAGGAAAAATGAGTTCATTTACAATAAAGAATGAAGAAATATGTATAAATGAGACCGATGCGATAGAGTTACTGCGAACAAGTTCCCTAAGAAGGACCGCAAACATCGAGTGGCCATTGAAACAAAGAGAGCTACCGTACAGAGGCTCGGTTATCAGCAGAAAACATTTTTCCTGGGTGTCGGGAACGATAACGTGGCCAGGCCACGTTCAGCACGAGTGAGAACAGTCGTGAGCGACTACAGGCAGCAGGAATCGTACACAGCTGCTGCCGGCCTGATTGTTCCTCCCGGTAGAACCGGCGATCGGTGTCACTGTGTCGAGCTGTGCTACCGGTGACGTCACTGCTCAACACCGTCAACAGCCATCCCCTCTACGATCCTCGTAACGCTATTCACGACACTTGCTTACTTACGACACTGAATAAGGAACGAACGCCAGAGATTAGCAGCTGGCAGATAATGTTGCAGCGTGTATGCGAAAACCGGCTTTTTCTCGGTCGGACAACGAGCCACGCGGTTTCGTTGTCCCTAAGTGAAGTTCAGCTCCAGTAAAAAGACGTAGATCACCGTAAACGAGATCGAACAATGAGTCAGTTGGCTAAGAGTACAACTACGACCAGTTTAATGCTAATGGGTTTTGATCAACTGTCTTGGATAAAGTACAGCTGAAAACTGTGAGTCTTAGTTTTTTATCCGAAGTGGCACATTTTTCATGCTTTTGAATTCTATACATTTTGCATACGATTTTCAATAGGTTTTTGAAATTAGTTTTGTAAATTTGAAACGTTAAGTGAAAGGGAAAAATTCGACACTGAATCATTTGACTAAGGAAGCAATTATAAGGACTGGAGAATGTGAATTATGAATGTGGTTTATATATTGTGCTAAATTTACGATTAGAGTATCAACTGAAGATTGGAATAGGGCTTATTTATGGTCTTCTCAACGCAACGATAAAAATTCTCACTATTCGAGTTCACGAATCATTCGACAGTTGTCAGAATTCTATCGGAGATAAAAATTTGAATCCATTCGCGAGCTCCATTTGAACACGCGATCTATTTCAAATAAATCGTGACGTTAAAACGCTGACAATCATGGGTGACGCCAGATCAGTAATTTCTCACTTGGTCCACAGCCTTAACGCTCTTGTCAGCGGTTCTTCCTACTCTTCGTGCGTCACTGTGCACGCATAACGTCACGGCCGCCCGTGGAAATTGACGCCACAGCATTTGTTCGGATTTTACGAGCTTGGAAACGAAGGACTGCACTGCGATACCGACCTTAAATTTATCAACTGTGTCACGATCATCGTGTAAATTCGTAAAGCTGAACAGAGAACCACATCCAATGACATGCTCGAGAAGAAAACGTTCTTTCTGCTTCACGGTCTCGGATACGAAAGCTGAGACAAGAGACACGAACGGTTTCGGGGAACGAACTTTCTTTTTGGCCTAATTGGAGAAATTAATCTTTTTTTAAAGTGGAACACTTTATAATAAATATTTTCCTTTCTAAGTAGATCACTATCCGAGTTCCATTATTGAAGTATTACTTATTTTGGGATAATAGGAGAAATTAAATGTTTTCGGAATAGTTGCGATATGAATATATGCATAAGTTACACAACGTATACGTTGTGAATAAACAATATCTATTTCCGTAAATTGCAAACAATTTTCAGTATACTCTGAATCTGTAAAGACTTCAAGACCAAACAAAACTGCACGACATTTCTACAAATTCGGAATAAAATACTCAATGTAACACCTGCATTTCGATGATTATAGTTTGTGGTGGCTTCGGTATTTCCGTCTTTCTTCTCTTTTAGTGTTCCCCGTTGAAAGAAGGCATGTACCAAAAAGCAGGTCACGCAACGGCGATAACGGTAATCCGTGCAGTCGTGGTGTAACGGCGTTCACGTGGAAAAGCAAACGAAGAAAAGTGTTTTGCTCGCTTAGCCGTAGAATCGCGGCAAGACACGATTTATAATGACTGCGAACAGAGTAATGACCGCCTGGGTTTACCTTCGAGTCATCGTAGCTATTGCGACGACGGCAATTCGGAAATCCCGAGCTAAATTGTCTCTTCTAACCATAGTAGAATCGTATTAAATTAATCGTCAGATGAAGAGTTCACGGTGAATTACGAACTTCAATACGTGGAAACTATTTTCCTTGTATAATAGATGCTTAACAGGTGCTTTAAAGAGACGTAAATAATTAAACCTCCAAAATTGAAATTGTGTTTGCTTCTAAACCAAAATATTAAAGATATATTGATATATGGAAATGTAACTTCCAATATAACGTGGCATTATATATAGATGCTTAATCCAAATTCTAGTTTTGCTTCGTGTATTTAATCCTAGTTTTTTAAGTTGTATAGTTTTGCTTAATCTTAAAATGAAAGTATGTTATTAATACTTGCAAGAAAAGTAATGCAACTAATATCTTATTGTTGAAGGAAATCAGAGTTACGAAACTTTGATTTTTGCAATATCCAAAATCTCTGACCTAAACAAATACAAATCTTAAGTTAATTTTTGCGATCGCATCAGATAAGCCCTATTAAAAATGTAAGAAAACCGATATATAATTACGATCCACTCAACTACCTAAAGCCTGGCTCTATCCCTCTTCACCTCGGATAAAAAATATCAAACAAAGAAAGTTTATCGTTGAACCAGAGCTTACTCATTCATCGACTATGCCGTTATATATGTCATTGTATATCGAAACGACCACACAAACCTAAACTCACAGACATCCACGTATATATGCATAGGTACAAAACCTATTCGCATGCCCACGTACATATATGCATAAGAGAGTACTCGATCCAGTTCGTGGCGCGTTATCGAAAGGCGAGAGTGTCAACGTTCACCCGCGCGAAAGTGAAAATCTGGGGCTGCCGGTCGTAGCACAAGCGAGAGATACTACTACGTTTGTCGACTGTGTCGAGGCGGGCGGGAAAAGGCCGGCCCGCGGCGGTATCTAGGCTGCGACCCGGTTCGCGATATCATTTAGGTCATTGTGTTCAACCGGGTCCAGCAAAACCGGGTAAACGCTGCCCAATGGCGGCGCACGACGCGCCACACTGATCCTGCTCTCTGGCGCACACCTTTTCGACGCATGTGCGCGTAGTACGATGTGAAGAAACGCGACTACTATATCGCTCTCTGCTCGCCGGCCGGGCTTCTCTTTATACACGGCGTGCGCGCGCTCGTTATATCACAGGCGACGTTGCGTAAAATGTACGCTGGCACACGCTCGTCTCTTCTGTTACACGGAGAGTATGTGGCCGCCTTTCGCCCCTCTCCTGGCCCCCTTTTAAACCTATCCCCCCGTTCCGCCGTGCGTTCTGCCCTCCTACGACTCCACTGCTACCTCCTTGTTCCGTCTCTTTACACGCGCCTTAACCAGCACCGCGTGAACGCGAACACGTTCCGAGCTTCTTGTTCTACGTAGCGAAAGTTTGTTTTCATTTTTAGTCTCCCTCCACCAAAACCGGTGGCCGACCGGCCCGCCATCGCCACCTGACTTTTCATCTGGCGTGCGCGCACATTAATACGCAGAATCATAGCGAACCGTAAGTGACTATGTGGTTGAGAGGATCGAGAACTCGAAAAAATAGGTGGTCTTTATCTGTTACAGTTGTTTCTCACTTGGAAATCGATAAAATAGTTTAATCAAGAAATCTTTCCCAATTGAGGGAAAACGATATCCGATGGTAGATCGCATCGTCCCACGTGTTTCGAAACCTCTATAGATACCCACACGCGAACGCCTTATTTTACAACAGAAGGGTGTAATCAGTATGTTTGTATTGATTATTCAATCAGTGGTCAGATCATCCAACTAATAATTGCCTATTTTATCTCCACCGTGTAAATAATTGAACACGCCTTATCTCGGTCGTAGGAATGACTTCTTCATCTGTCTCGTTAAATCATCTAAGTCCCCATATTCAATAAGGTATTTGGTAGTGTATGAAATGGAATCGGTGATACGAAAGACCACTTATCTCCTGCCACATAGATGGAAGCGCGGTATACTGGAAAGTCATAAACTAGCAAAAAATAAGAACGGTATAACGAGCACGTTCAATCGACGCCTTTATGCGGGAGAACTCTTCCTCCCGTTTTCCTAATACACTATCGCATTCGTGAGAGCCGACGGGATGTATGTATTGCAAGCGCGTTTGCCACAGGGACGAACAGAACACGATACCTTTCCTGTGAATCTCGCGCGCGTGGAACGCAGCACGCGTTCGTGTGCACGATCGGTACCTTCTCGACCTACTTCTCTGAGAAAGGCCCGACCTCGCTTTTCTCTCTGTACAGCAGATACGCGCCACTTTTCCTCGCGTCCTCGTGCGTCCTATGCAGTATGGCACGCGCATCAACTTTTCGTGCCCTGGCCATTTGCTCGCCAGGGCCAGCACTATCGAACCATGCAATTTCACACTTCTCGATGATGACGAAAATGCGCTATACAAATTCAGATGATATTATATTCTACTATTTGAATTTGTTCTTTAAGAATCAAATTAGAATTCAAATTAGAATCAGGATAATTTAATGTTTATTCGATTCGTACATAGATGTTTATTGCTTGATTTAAAATAACGGATTAAAAGGATTAGATAATAAAGGTAAATACTACTTTGCGACGATCTACATTGTGTTATACCACGCATAGTGCTCTTCTTACACGGTACTATTGACAGAAACTGTTAGAAAGTCTCAGAGGACTTGGATGATGCATATTCAACCATATATTAGCTCGGCGTGTGCAAGGTTGCATTATCGATCATAATTTACGACGCGTGCTGCATTGTTACGTCAGTGCAGCTCGTTTACGGCCAATATTATCAGGTGGGAGCGAAGACGCATAAACTTACACGCGTTATGCCTACGATCAGCTGATTTTGCACTTCGTGTCAATTTCGTAACAAGCAAACAATCGTTCCAAATATCTAAAGAGAAAAAATTCCATGTGCATCTAAGACGTCAACTTTTACCACAACAATTAAAATGTTATCCATCCAAATAACTCCGGGTGTCGGATTCGAAAATCAAGGACGGCAGTTTGGCACGGATTTCAAGCGGCATGCTGATTTACTTTCACGCGGACAATGAAATTTCGTTCACGGCCAATACGTTGTTTAAATAACAGTAGAGAGTGTCGGCGCATAACAAGGAGCGTGGGCAAAGTAGCAACGATTACTCTGATGGTATTGAAGAACCATGATTCCGGGTAATCATACCGGCACGCGCGTTCCATTTTGCAATTCCATACCGTCACGTCGGCGTGTGCAACTTATTAAAAGTCGACACGTCTCGCGCGTACTACGCGCCCATTTCGAGGGGAACCTTGCGAGCGATCGTACGCGATGCATAAGTATTGCGCCGGGTGGTATAGAGTTGTTCTAATATCCAAGGTAATTGTACTCAGACGTGCTAATGATTGCGACACAGTCGCAATCGCCGTAAAACAAATCAGAAGGAGCGTAAGAGGGAGAGGGAAAGCAGGTAGAAAGAGATTTGTGTAGTACGCGCCGGACAGAGAGAAGGCGTTGCATTGTAAACTCTATGACCGACTTTACAAGCGATCGGCTAGGATACAGTGCCTCCAACGGTCGATCGGCGCAACTAACCGCCATGTTGTTTCCAAACCCGAAATCAAGTTCGCACCACTCTTTACAAAGAGAAAGGTAAACGCCGATCGCTACCTCGTCCGAAATTATGACATAACTTTGGTTTCGCTGTGTTTTTTTTGTGGTAAGGGAATTCAACGTTCGTAAAAAGAGAATGGAATTTTTCTTTTTTCTTTTTTTCTTTCCATTTAACGATAGATTCTTAACTATTCAGTCCACGTAACAGCTAACAGCATCGATTTTAATCCTAGTTTCGATACTGATCTGCATTTTAGCGCTCTTATACATATCCGATTTTCGCTGGTGAAACGATGTTAAACAGATGTTCGTTTTCCGTGCCAACCTTTCCTAAGATCGACTGTTATTCTGCACTCGGTAATAAATACGAGGCAAGAATATATAGATCCCAAAAGAGTTACATAAATTAAGATAAAGAATCTAAAACGGAGAAGCGAGTACTTTAAAATCTGCTATTATCAAACTAATGATTTCTATTATAAATTCTGTATTCTACCGAACCATAAGATTAATTTTTTTTCATTTAAAAATAATTTTTATGAGAAGAATTATAAAATTAATTTATATCGCGTATAATTCTGCTACGATTGCAAAATTATAATACAGTATGTGTCGTTTCTAGTTTCCAACTGCCGAATAGGTCCTATGGACAGCTACAGCGACAGAGACCGGCCGGCCGGCCTATGACTATAAGTTAATACTTATGTAGAGTGGCCATCCGTGATCCATCTTGCGTAACCTATTTACCGGCAAAGTGGTACAAGCACGTATGACATAATCCCGTGCAACAGAGCACGCACTGTGCACTTTACATTCCGGTCTGTTCGAATACTATTTTAAATAGCCCATACTGCGATTGTGCGCCTGCGCGGCAGCTCAAGCCGGCACGCCGCGTCGCACCAGTGCGCAACGTTTAGCAAATTAAAAATACACGAAGAAAATCAGCCCGTGAAACAAGAAGATACAATTTTACCATTATTATATATCCCATGGAACCTTTCTTTTACGCCCCACTTGTTTATTTTAAACATGCTTTTGTTTCCAACATACTTTTAAAACTATACAATAAGATCTTTGAGAATCTTAAAGAACTTAACTTCATATTCTGATACCGATTATGTGGAACTTAACTTTATTCTTAAATCTAACGATTATAGTTTTTCAGTCTAAATAGTCTTTGACACTTAATTCCATTTACTTCACACTCGGTAAGCTATTTTTATAAACTATTTAAAAAAACGTACAATTTATGTTTGAAACCAGCTTTATGTATGTAGATCTTAATCGAATCTGCAGAACCTCTCTCGACTAAACTGTAAACAACCAGGATATTCGAAACGTGGCTGATAAAAATACTATATACTCAATCACACTCCCTTTACGATCAGTTTCCCTCGGTCGAGTTCGTAACCTCGAATCGAACGAGTACGCGACGAAAAGAGGCGAGGTTAGAGAGATCGAGAGAGATTGACCACCTGCTGCTGAGCGTGGCCCAAGCAACTAGAGCAATGAATTATAACCTCGGATCTCATCGAGCTGTCGGCAGCTGTTGGACGGACGTTTCTTCTGTATGGCAGAAAAATTAAAGCGTTCTGGATTCCCCGGCGCACACAGCGATTGATAAACGAATATAAGAGAAGAAAAGCAAGAATTTATCGAAACTAACATACGTATTTCCAAAAACGTCAGTGGCTACAAGATAGCGCGAACGATCGCAAGGAATGAAGGAAACACCCGCGTGACTATGTCAGACTGCTAGACAAGCCTGTACGCATACCGACATTTGTTTACATCGCGAACGGTTGTTGCGGATGCGCCTCTATGTATGTATGTATATAGAGTCGGGCCAGTTAGGTTTGGTAAGCCTGTGCCGGGATATCTATCTTTGGATCCACGCACGAAGTGCGCGCACACACTGGCCATCTCTTACTCAATCGTCTCACGCCCGTGCCGGTGACCAGTGACACCGTTAAACGCGACCATTATTTCGAATGCGCCCCGCAGGTCGGATATTTCCGTGGTGACCGTAGATAGACCCGATGGATCGCACCGTTAACGGCGAAACGCACTCCCGCAGTGGAACGCATTACCACGTATCCAATGTTGTGCTATCTTCTCGTCGCAGTGAAATGCACGCGTCAGTGATTCTCAACTTTTATCGGTTACGGTTGTTTTGTCACGTTGGTTGAGGAGTAATTATGTTGGACAATTTGACAGAAGAGTGAGCGAGTTTGACGATTGTGACCGTGATAAGAGATACGACGAAATAGCTGCCAGGATTTGTAAAGAAGCGATTTTATTGCGCGATCATGTCGGTTTGGTAGGGTACTTGGAATCCAGATAGAGAAAGATGTGCTAAAATAATAGCAAAATCAAAATATGAACACTGTCTTTGAGGTGGTTTTACTGAAAATATAATAAAACTTGGTATAAAAACTAAATTACCTTCTAAGTTGATACTTTTAGGGATTCACAGCATGTAAATTCTAGGAAGCATTTAGTTAAATACGTAAGATGCATGTTTAATTAATTGCCGATTATTTGTAGTAGTACAACTCTGAGCAAGTAAAGCCTTATAAATATTCCGATAAATGTCACGCTACGCTAATTTCTTTCTCTTTCTATGAAATTGTAAACGACGATAAAATCTAATATTTCTTAAGGAATGAAAATTTCGAATTAATGAGCAAATCAATTGTTAAATTTTAGAATTCCTTATAGTTCTGAATAAATATAGTAAATGAATAGTGAGTACAGCCATGGACAATACTTTGAAAAAATAGGGACTGCGACGAAGTTGACGGTCGAGCGCCATGGCTATTGACATATTGTCAGGGCTAACAGAAGGCAGGTCGACCGGTGAGGTGTCAAATCGCGAAGTGGACGTTACGAAACTGCATATGCAAGATGTTTGCTAAAGCAGAGGTACACGATAGTCGGCAGAACGCACGGAAGCTTTAAAATTACCACTTACGCGTACTTGCGCTAACAGATAAACGCCGTCCAGTATTTACCGATTCACGGTTCGGTAAATACTTCGACGTCACTAAAAGTCAGCCATGTACGCTCGCTTATGTGTTGCATATATAAACAGGTAACGACGTGGGGAAGTACTTACGTCAGAGTACTACATCGGTAGATTAATTATGGTGATTAAAGATTACAGATGATCACGGTGAATTAAGGAAGACAGGAACACGAAAAGCACGCCCTGTTACGTATATCTCATCACGGATACGATGATTAAAAATAATCATAATTGCGATCGAGAAGATTAAGATGAATCTCTGAAGTTTACTACTATCACGCGCCGGCGATAATGTGTTCGTTGAAACCAAGACCTGAACGATTTTCATTCAGAATTTATGCTTTCGTTGATGTTAAGGAATATTACCATAAGAAAAAGTTCCCTTCAATAAACTTCAATTCTCTCTTGAATGTAGTAATAATTGCCGTATATGTATGTACTTCAAATAAGAATAAACGTGTGTTGCAAGGTTATCTATATTTAACCCTATAATGAGTCTCCCCTTATTTAAGTGCTACCGCTTCATATTTTCCATTGTCAGAATTTTTTTGTACAAAACCACCAAGGGATATGTAAATTTTAAAAATTTTGATTTAATAAATTACCAATTTAGTCAAAATTAATTAATTACATAAATAAGCTATAATACAATAAAATTATCATTTAGTACCCAAACCGAAATATAAAATTTTCTAGCATAACTTTATTTATGAATTCTCTATCATAATACACATACCCTTGAAATGTATACAAATTTGACAAATAAAAACCAACTATTGCTCGAAGAATATTAAGTGTCAGTCTTTCATTCTAAACATCTACTGGAAACGTGTCTTTAGCCTACGTGACATCGTTGTTAGATAAAAACGCAACAATTTGACCATTTGCCACCGCAATAAGGCAGGCCGATTTTCCGGTGAACTCGTGCAAAACAGACATAACTACATATTGCGGGGCGCAAAAATATCGGAACCGGACACTTCGGTCTGACCAGATCCGGTTTATTTTTTCCCCCGAGTGGAGCATGAGCGCTCGCGAGCGCGCAGCAAAGTTTCCACGAAATGAAACCGTGGTCACGCCTGAGCTACCTAACGGAGGTAGAAAGATATTGCGCTAATGCGTTCCACGTGGGGTCACCGGTAGCCGGTGCACGGGCCAGTACTACCGTACTGGCTTCGCGCATAAAACCGACCTCTCCCGCATCTACGTACATACATACATACGCGCGAAAGAGCCTCGCTGTACGGACAAGCAAGCTAGAGAACGCCAGTGCCTCTCATTACGAATCTAACCGCGCCCACGTAGCGGTATCGAGGCTGCGTATACTTCTCTGCCACGCCTGACCGGCCGTAATAACGCTATCCCTCGTTTTATGGGGTATTTATTACGTTGCGCTCGCTACGCTTTTCTACGAATCTGCAAAAAACTCTTGCGGCTCTCGGCAACTGTATACGCGAGTATACTCGCGTGTGCGCAGCCGCGCGTGCGCGCGGCCACTTCGCGGATTCTATCTGGCCGTAACTCGAGAAAGGCGTGTCGAAAATCGACGGACTGGCATCGGTCTCGTGTATCGTGTGACTCCAATATCGGGCGGCGGATGCGCCTCGAGACGCAGGCATTTCCTTCTGTTAACCCATTCGTTAACCTGTTATTCGTTCGCTGGAAGTTATACTCCCCTTCCATCGGTTCCCCCACCCATTTACGATCAGACATTGTTTTACTCTCGAATATTCTCGATCGCCAATCCGCTAGATCGACGACAATCGGAGAAACGAATTCCATTGTGCGTGGCAGTTATGCTTCACAACGCGGCATTCGTGTTCAGATACGGGTAACGTGTTTGTCTCTTATAAACCTGTGTCTATCCCGCACGCGGACAAGGGGAGTGAAGTGACCCTGCTCATGCGCGTCGCGTAAATAGGAGAGCCACTGTACAGTCTGCACGCGGAACGAGGTCACGAAAATTAAATTTTCTGATTAACGGCACGCACGCACACACCCACCCGGTAACAGCCGGCTGTCACATCGTCACGTGCCATTCCGTCTTTCCTCTCTTACCTTTTGGTTGATTTCACCCAGCTGTCAAAGATCTATCGTCTATATCTTAAGAATAAACGCAACATCGCGGCAATTCGTCATAGTATGTCATCAGTACTGTCGATGGCGTGTTATCGCGCGCGAGAATACGTTTTTCTCGCTCTCCGAAAACATCGCGAACATCGCGTTCGGCGGAACAGCCTGGCTATGCGCATGCGCGCTCGCCGAGTTTGATGCGCGCTAACCTGTGCTCCGATGCAACGAGACCCGGCGGCGGTACGGATGACGTATCAATCCTCGTTATGCCTAACGTGCCCCGCCAATGCTTTGTGCGTTTTTCTTTAAACGTATGTATATACAGCGTATATATTTGTAATATATGAGTATGTGATATACAGCAATACACAGCGCTACCGAGAATGAGAAAGGAATGTACTATACATACATGTAAATAAGAGCGAAACTTTGACCTATTCCTCCCTTTCCAATATCAATTCTCATTGAATCAATCTCATATTGAACATAAAATTTGGCAGTTAGTGATAGAAATCTGATAATTAGAAATTTGATCTAGAAATATAAAATTGTTTGATTCAATCATTCGAAAATAAAATTTACCAAATTATTGTCAGTTCAAAATAAATAAACTACCCAATAAACTTATCGTCAAAGATTACAAGAAAGCGAACTTAAAAGTAACTAGCGTCACACCCGCCATCCGAGAGTTACGGCAATACGGGTTTTGAAAACTCTGGAAAGATGTACTATTTGCCCGAAATACGCAAAATTAAACAGAAGAGATAAGAGAAAGTAGAACAAAATGGGCATTGCCAAACTCACTCACCTCTTGGCCGTTCGGTACAATTATCACGTCTACTTCGTCGAGGTGCTCGCGATGTTGCGTGACCTCTGCGTGAATTTCCCGTCCGTTGTACGTAAGATAGACCTTCTGGCCGGGCACGAGATGCGCACTGGTGACAGAGCCGAAACCAGGCCCGATCAAATCGCGATCAGAGTATTCGGTGCTGGGACTCGGCGGACGGCCGCCGGGAACGGAATCGAAGCGCACGGAGTAGCGAGTCTTCGGTGTAATGCTGAGGCCTGACTCGGACGCGGCTGACGCCGGCGTTTTTACGGCGTGAATGACGCCACTGTAGTATTTCCCGTCCTCGCCGGGAGCACACACTCTGGTGCCGATTATGCTACGTTTCGCCAGCCTCTTGCCCGTCGACATTATTCGTGATTATCTATGGTTAAACGATCTCGGCTCTCGTTTCGATCACTTCGATAAATCGATTGAAACGTTCGACGAGGATTCTAACACACCGATGTACTTCACAACAAAATACCATGTATCGGATCGTTCTCGAAAGTATCTCGCGCGAATTCGCCTCTCGTATAGATCATTTGCACCGCGGTTAAAGACTCACTCTTCGACTACCGTCCGCGAAACTCACGTTAAAAAACGTACGTAGATGCAGGAACCGGAAACAAATTTGGATCACACTAGAGAAGAAATAATGTCACGCGCGATTCAACAGTTCGACACTTTCCATAAGAGATGATCGAAACACGATTGATATATTATGTCTATGATTCGAATAAATATTTGGAAAGACACTCCCGGAAACTAGAACACCAGTTTTACTCGTCGTGTGTAGCTTCAGCTCTTCTTCTTTCCTTTCTTTCTTCCTACGTCTCCGAAACTCCGTACTGCGACACGTTGCTTTAGGTCATCGTTCCGTGATAACTCGTCGAGGACAAATTGGGCAGTTTTGCGTGAAATTGCAATCGCGATAGCAAATGCGATCCTAAACCGAGGAAGGACGCGGTGGCCTTCGCGGCCTGAACACAGAACTCAACGTATCAACAAAACGGCGTGCACCGTTGCCTGTATTCGTCACGCCGTCCGCATGTTCGAGGCACTTCGTGATCGATTTGTGATAATACTTTGGAGTGCACGCGGTAGATAGCATAATATATGACTGACGCTTGCCGGTGAGTAGAAATCCGGCGCTGTACGGTAACTTGAACGAGCAAGCGGTACACGATTCAATGGTATACGGGCAGGAGTAGGACTCGCGGTACCCGACATGTGACGCACAGCTGAGCGACCGAGGGACTGAGGACAGACTACCAAGCGGCTTTCACTGCGCCGGCCGGCCGCCCGCCCGCCCGGGAAAAACAGCTGATAGATAACAACAAACCCACGTGATTCGGCCTCGAGCACCGATTGGTCGCGCTCGCTGACCTACTTACTCTCATTGGCCGTCCGCCCGGACAACGAGAAGAACGGGAAAAAATCGCAGACTAGAACCCTAGCCAAAGCATTTCGCTCATCAAGACCTTCCACTTTCTCAGCCCTCTCCTCTTTTCGTACGCCTGTACTCGGCGTCCTTTCTGGCGTCCCTCTTTTCTATGCGCAAAGTACGTCGATTACATACAGGCTCATATGAAATCTTGCACACCATCGATTTACTTTGTCAAATTAACCTAAAAGTATTCATGGAAATATCGATTTTGCATAGGTTTTATAAACGACAGTTTTGTAATCAGCTGGTACTTAAATACACAAAGCAGTCATTTTGTCATCAGCTGAGAACGCCTGTGACGAAATCGGAGCGAGTGATCAGTCTGCCGATAGGTACAAAGCCCGCGTCAAAGAAGCCTCTCTTCGTAAGATATTCCTACTGCCGCTCGTACACCATACTGTAACATCTTTTTAATGAAATACCTTGAATTTCCTCAAGATTCTTACTTTTTGGCAAAGTAATGTCTGTAGGAAAAGGGGAGTTATGCGTTTCATCGCAATAAATATTGTTTTGACAGAGAAAAACTATGTTTATGGTTCAGCTGTCAGTAGAAGGCGGCCATTTTACGTCAGCTGAGAAGGTCGGTGACGACACACATTGAGTGAAATATCTTTCGCATGGCAGTCGAGCATCAGGGAATGTGTCACAGAGAACCTCACCTACAAAGTTATTTGCAAAGCTTGTCACTGTACCGGAAACAGTGTATACTTTATATTTTTTATTTAAAGAACAAATTTATCCTTCCTATCAAATATATAAAATTAATTAAAAACATGTAATTTCAATCCGATAAAAAGTTCAATATTTTACAATTATTTCTCTGTTTCTTATACGATATCCTGCCTTGTAATGCAAAATTGTCGTATATTCAATATTTAATCCTAACAATGTCAAATTAGTACTTCGTGTCAGCTGAGGGCGCTAGTGACGAAACACAGTGGAGTGGATAGTCTGTGAGAGCAGCGATATATTTTGTTGGCCAATTCGTAGTAGCTTTCGCAAACCGGTAGATGACTGTGATTTTTAGTCCATTCCGAGTGATTTTGAGCAGCATAGAGTTGTAGGTACATCGATGAAAAATCGACTTCAGGTAAAAACGTAATTACGCCGATAAATGCGGCGTGGTCGGTAAAGGTGAGGCAGCTGCAATGCCATACCGTATGCTTGTCATGGCGGCATGGAGGACGAGCAATGAAAATGGCCGGAAGATGCAAGGGGCAGTGGGGAGGGATGGTAAGGCCGAATAGAAGGCAGCGGTCCACGCGTTCTCAGCAGCCTATCCTAGATTTATTTCCGTGGATGTTGCGCAATAAACGCTATACTGTTAGCTCACTGAATGCTACCCCTCGTTTAACTTCGAAGAGATGCCAAGGGCTAGTGAGTAACATGTTAATTGTCATCGGCTGCCATTCTTTTCATCGCATAAAGGAGCGCGATTATGTTCGCCATGTATATGCGCTGTAATGTAATTTCTCGCTGTCAATGTAATGGAGACTTAGTCATCCTTGTATTATATTAATGCACCTCTTTAACGCTATCCACGTTTTGGCGTTCACATGGAAACGCTTTCCACACGGGGAATTTCGAATGAAAGAAGGCGCACGGAATTTTTACGGAAGGTTTTTATCGGTTTTCAAGAATCAGTAAATGAAAATAAAGAGGTACAACAAGTAGTTTACAGTACGCTTTCACTGTATCGATCATGAGAAAGCAACTCTATAAGAAAAACTAAATCACGTTTTAATTGTGTTTTCAAGTATGTCTCAGACTGAGGAACTTTATTTTTCTAAAAACGTGGTAATATAAATCTTATTATTTGACATTGCTTGGTTTCATCGTTATTATCTTTTTTATTCATACTCAGATATGTCTATTAATAAACATACATACATCAAATTTATATCCTTATTAAAGCAAAAAGTTATTCAATCTTGATATCTTATTTAAATACATGCATGAATTCCATATGTTTTCACAGGAGAGTATTCTACGGTGTAGACAATAAAATCTGCGTTTTAATCACTGAATTAGCTACATTGCGAATATCAATTCGAAGAAACTTATTGAAGTTATCATTTTAATAACAAGAAATTTTAGAAAATTATTTTTTTTATTTCTAACAATAAAATTATAACAAGCTCAAAATTTTGAGGACCATATGATATGAATATTTCTTTTACTAATTACCATCCGTTTCTGATACGCCGTTGTTTCTGCCTATGAACGTATCAGTTAGATTAAAATATGTAATACAAAATGATGAATAATGCCTGATAAATAACATCTTACTTTTCATCGTACTCTTCTTTCACCCTTCGTTTAAGGAATAAAATTTCCAGTTGCTCCAATAGTTCTCAACATGAATAGAAAATAGTTCTCAACGTTTCAGTAATAAGGAAAAACATTAGGTAATAAATAATTGTATTCAGCTACTTTTTATTTCAAATTGCTTCATATGTTTTTCATTGCGGAAAACACATTGTTTCTGTCAAAAAAAAAATAATGGGAACGGTAAGAAAATTGAGACGATACGATGACGTATCTCAATCGTTAACACATTTATCCACGATATCCATCCAGTCATGTTGCAAGATAAGATTACATTGGCGGGGCAATCACGAGCCACAAGAAAACGCAATAATCTCTATCAGAAGTGAATTTGCTGTACTATTACTTCGAAAATCATTAGTTGCGGTATAAGTTTAACGAATTTTCGTGAAATCTATCGTTTACTTTTATTACCATGACCCATGGTATCGCCGTCTATTTAACCATTTCACTTATTTCGATGTTTTCCGCTTGCGGGACGACAGTTTTGACGCGACAATGCTCGTCGTTTTGCGTGTGTGACACTTGGTATGGTTTGGAGCGCGCTTCTTGTGTGGGCCGCCATCTTTACAGTATACATACAGGTGCACCGAACAACGTGCAAGCACTCGACTTATCGGATAATGTGATATCACTTTTAAGTAACTTCGAGTTAGCGGTATGTTTGAATTTATTAAATTATTTTTCTTTGTTTGTAATTATATGCAACTGAGTATAAATTTTATTGAAGCAAATTCTGATAATAATTTCACTAAAATATTGTGAATTTGTGCGCATAGTAAGTGAGAAATTGTTCATTACTTTAGGATGTTGGAATGACGAAATTAAAGTACCTTAATCTTTCTGAGAATGCAATCAGTGAAATCGGCCTAAATGCTTTCGATGGCCTTACGAATTTAACGATCTTGGATCTATCGAAAAATAGACTCCATGATATTTCAGATGAAGTCTTTGAAAGGAACAGAAATCTACGAATCTTAATACTATCGAAAAATAATTTCAATTCGCATGTACCGAAATTACGATCCTCTTCGTTAATGGTATTACCATATGTATATCTGTGATAAAATTATTATCTTCGATAAAAATTTCATTTTTAATAAGGTGAAGTAAATTTCGATGCAGGAACTAAGTTTGGATTCATGTCAGATTAGTCATTTACCTCCAGATACGTTCAATGGACTCACGCACGTTCGTCGTCTCGATCTTTCAAATAATTTGATGATTCAGATGAGTACCATCGTCGTGCAAACATTGCATGTTTTGAACAAATTATCGTTAGAAGGGTACGATGAACAAAGCACATAAAATTAATATATGTATATCACATTATTTTATTAACATAATTGTTTCGAATAAGAATTTAACTTTTACTCTTGAAACTTCATTACATTTTATTTGTTATCAATAATATTCACTTCTCAACATCTCGAATAGTTGACATATCTTACCTTGTGTAGATATGTCAGTATTGTTCAAAAAACATAAACAAAATTTTCATTTTTTCATTCTTTCCAGAAATCCATGGTCTTGCAATAAAATTATGTTTGAGTTACAAACATATCTCAATACTAAGAGCATCGAATTCAACGAAGTTTGCGGTAAGAAAATTAACGTAAAAAAATTCGAGAAAATGATTAATCTTCCCACAAAATCACGTAGTTATCATCATTTGGCAAATGCGAGTATGCTTTTTGATGAAACTAAATCGGTAACGGAATATAATGTATCGAATACACTGAAGGATAAAAATCTGTCAACATGTGAACAAATGATAAACCAAATGCATGTTGTCGATTATAAATCTGTAGTATATTGGTTTCTTCTTCTTGGTTTTATACTTGGTATTTCAAGTGGAGTATTCATTTCTTATATTTGGTTGTCGAGGATGTGTTTGTGTAACCGAAGATACAGGTATCACGAACAATTTAACGACGAATTAATAACCTCCCAACGACTGTCTTTGCTGGATTCGTATTTACAAGGACTCATAAGTAGCGATAGAAGTTTGATAGAATCTTGTCCAGGTACCCCGCCACCTCAATATCGCGATGTTATGCTACGACCTAACCTCTATCCACCAAGAGTATCGAATTTAAATAACAATGGTAACGGATATGGAGAAATGTATACATAACCTCAGAAGGTAACTTATTGTTGTAGTATGACAGAGAAAAGTAAAAATGCACATCACTACATTATTTATTCAGCATTGAAGCTTTAATTTTTGTTACATTACATATTTTTCATAGAATATTTTTTATATATGTTTGTTGTTATGCATCGTACATTAACGATTACATCATTGAGCAATAACTAATAATTAGATTAATAGTAAAATTATTTATGAAAAAAGAAAACTGGATGAAAAATTTAGTAAATTAATTGTCGATAACTAATCATTAATGGCTACACGTATATATATATCTTTGTTACATTTATTAACAAGAACAAACACGACTTATACGTGCATATAACAATAATGCAAAAATATAAAATCAATAGCTACATAACTAAAAGCGCATTTTTTATCATTTATATTACAATATAAGAAGAATTATAGGAGTAAAACTATATACAGTTCAGACTTATGCTAATAATGCGAGTTATCGTACAATAATTCGGTTCTCGTTTTGAACACAACGACAATTTAAGTACAATCATTGTTATTGTTCGATGGGTTTAATCATTGCGTGGCAATCATATTACTTTTATCTACATTTTGATTAGTACTTAGCGTAACAGTCTTGCAACCGATTGCAGTTATTATATTTTCCATTACTCCATGATCGTATCTCGTACCACGTAGATTAGTTATTACGCTCACGTCTTGACTAAAATCTTTCGATACCAAATTAGCTGGCAGCTTCATCTTGATTTCCTCAATGATGCCGTTTTGTATTTCTAGCGCCAAATTAAATTGATGGACTTTGTTGTCTTCAGTAGGTACATCTACAACGCGTGTTACCGTGAATTTCGGTGTTTTACCATAATTCCATTCCCAGGAACGAAATTCGCTTATTAATTTGTCCAATCCTGAAAATAATAATTAAAAAATATTAGACAAAGAATTATACCTTTTTTAATATTTATATACCTGGAAACCAGTCCTCGGTAGGATTGATATATTGAAATCCTTTTTGACGCTGAATGAGATCCTGTCCACCATCATCAAGAACAAGAGCTTTAGTGCGAAGATATTCCCAGCCTATTGCAGTAATGAGTTTGTCCATTCGGATATGAGAATTTATATCAATTAAATTTTTTATTGAAGATCGTATGGATGCAGTAGCATTTGTTTCTATACCATCCTGTAATACATACAAATAAACATATTTTTTGAAATTTAAAATTATAAAAAAATTAAATTCTGTTTTTATATTCAGCAACTAGAAAGATTACATTTGAAAAAAGTATAAAAATTCTGTCATATTGTATTTTGAAGAAAGTAATTAGATCTTTTAATAGTGATTATAAATAATATCTATCTTACAACATAATTGAAAATAATTTACCTTCTTCTTCTCGAGCGCTAAGCTTAAAGCTGTTTTGTTTACATTGACCAATAGGGTGCAGTGATGATATGCATTAGGCCGTCCTAATTTCGCTGCAGTACCAGATATCTGCGTTTTAAAATAGTTAAGGATATATAGGTAAATTTTTGCAAAGCGCAAAGCTTTGCTCTTATGTAGGTTGTTCCAACTGGGTTTTTAATGTTACTTCATACAAAATAAAGAAAAGTCTGTTAGTGTTTTTCTCGAGAATATTCTACTTTTATAAAATGAATATAAATTTTTAAATAAATTGTTACACGCTATTAAAATTTTAGAATATACAACTAAGGATTCTGCAATATAAAACGTCACATACATATACACATGCCCCTTAAAGTTTTATAATAATTTTATAATTATTTTATGTATATTTATTATTATTTTATAATTAACTTCGTTCCAGCAAATTAAACACCGACTAATGTAATCATTGAAAATGTAATTTTGGAACACCCTGAATAAAAAAATATATATGTAAGTATTTTTAATACATTACATGAAAGGATACTTTGTACTTCTCTTCGACAACGATGTCCTCGCGTTTATTAACCTCGGCTTCTACACCCCATTCCCGATACAAAGCTCTGGTAATGATGTCCAGATTATATCTTCGATTATACCGTTCCCGTGGCGTGAAGAAGGACAAATTCAAATTACCATGATCATGATAGACAGTACCACCACCACTGTTACGTCGGACCAGAACTATACCGCGTTTTTCAGCCAGTTGAGTGTTGTGCTCAATCCATGGATTTTGATGTCGTCCTATTACTACACACGGGTCGTTACGCCATAGGAGTAATACGTGGTGATTCGTAAAATTATAGTTGTTATAGAGCCAATGTTCTAACGCTAAATTGGTGAACACATCTGTGGCTTGCGATATGAATACTGACTTCGTAATCGAATCATTAGCATCATTCTGCTTGTCGTTAAAGCTCGTTGAGTATTTACACATGTGATACAAATTAGGGGTGATATTGTATTGGGGTTTCTGTTTGATAATGATCATAAATCTGTTTATCAGAGACATTTTCCTTTCGTTGTGCACGTGTAAGTAGAATTTATTTTTCATACACACGCAAAATCACTGCCTACTTTTTTTATGTCACGATAAATCGAACGATAGGTACGTATGTCAGCACTGATATGAAAATCGTACTCCTTGGAAACGTTGTACGTGAAATCAGTCTTTAATTACTAAATTTGCGAGACTTCCTTTAACACCTCTGTTTTTGTAACGAAATCAGCCTTGACAATGTTTAATATTTTTGTCCGTAGATAGCACCCTTACTGACAAAATCTCGAAAAGTTAGATTGAATGGCTGTTATAGAAATTAGGTAATCGTGAAGGGCAATTGTTTGATGCAACCACTTCCACGTTTGATCCAGGGAGTTAATACGGTATCGGATACCTAAACAGTCTCGGCAGTCCTTTTGCATTCCTCCGTGTGCTGACAGTTTGGAAAGTATTCAAATTATCCGCAGCGAACGGTATACGGTGACTAGGGCGACCTCTTCCTCTCTATCGATGCGTAAATTCCGTCCAAGATAGAATCGCTGGTTCTTGTAACGTTACTACACTTGAGAATAAATTGCACGCAACTACGAATCGGAGCTAAAATTCACTGATGCACTCTCCGATTCACTGTGAATACTCTAGCGGGAGATTTTAATGTTATATAAACTCCTACTATAGTTGAAGAAAGTAGTGGGAGGTCTTTAAACCTCCATGCGGGAGGTTATCTAAGTTCACAGCACAAAGTACAGGCAGTACAGCTGACCTGCTCATGATAACACGTCACAAATGTATATATCTTCTTCTTCGTAATCGACTCTCTCCCACGAAGTTTCAGACTCGTAAATAGTACCATGCATATCCTTCCGTATTCTCCTTAATTTTTTCATATAAATATATTTGCTAAAAAATTGTATTCTGTGTGAATTTTATTTATTGTAATATTGTCTGTTATTAGATTAAATAAAAAAATGTTAATAATGGAAAATTAATTTGTTATCAATTTTAAACTATGCTATTCCGTTTAAAGGTTATAAGTAATTACATTATATTTGGAAAAATAGTATCAGATTTTGTAAAAATATTTATATTACATGTATTTTTTTCAGTATTTTTAAATAACAAATATGGATAAAATAAAAATAAAGTTTATGTAAAATAGAGCATTAAAAATGTATATACCTCTTATTTTTTTATCTGTATAAACATTTGTCTTTATTATACGATACTGTGCTTCGTATTTATATCCTAGTAACAGCTAAGTAATACTGTATGGTATTGGAAGAAGTAATTAAGGCCAATTTGATAAGAATATATCCCCTACTCTTCCGTATCATGCGTTCACACTACTATTGCATTTATAACTATGCTGATAAATGACATTTTTAATTACTCCGATACAAATTTTTTATCCTTATTGGCCCTTACCATACACACAACTGATCGCAGTTTGTCAGTTTTTTTTCAAATGTATTTTATATCAACTGTCACGTGATTTTTATCTAATATTGTACGAATTGTCTTTAACCATGCTCGTTAAAATGAAAGCTGATCATAATTTAATTTTGACTGGAACGTTTCATGTAGAAATCGCATATGTGAAATACGATTTCGTGAAGAACAAGATAAGATTTGTATTTTTTTAAGAAAAGCAGATACGACGAGCGCTTTATGCGTAATTATAATTTGCTATATTTAAAGGAGTAGCTTATATGTATTATCGAATTTGTTGAAGATACAATAAAAATATTTAATATTTATATTTTAATAATGTATAATTTTGCAATAGTGATGGTTTTAGCTAAACAAATATTTTACTACCCTTTATTTATAATATATATCATACATATATTATATAATATATATAATATAATATATATAAATCTTTTTAAGACATTTATCAGAGTTTATTCAGAAAAGTAACAATTTCTGTACAATATATATATATATATATCACTTATAGATTAATAGAATTTTGATTGTATTGGTGACTATTTTAACGTGTAATATTACAAAAAAGCATTTTAGTGTATTATATTTCACAAAAAGTATGTGTTAAGTAAGAAAAATACGTATTATGGCTATGTTCTTAATTGCAAACATATGGACGAAAATTTGCTCACGTAAAATTCAAACTGGTATTTACAAGAATTTGCTTAGTAAGCGCCCACAATTTATTTGCGCATCGGCTTTTTCGACTGTGAAAGTAAGATTTTGTAGTAACATAATTGTCAGCGATACTGCCAAAATTTCAATTATATTATTTCGAAAAATATCTAGGTGCTGGACCCTACGATACGAAAACACATAGAAAATCAAAAAATAATGGAGAAATTGCAATATCCTGAAGCGTATCGCGATGAAACCATTGTCGATAATTATCATGGTGTCGAGGTTAGAATAAGAAAAAAGATAATCTTTTTAAATGAAGTTTATACGTAAATATGTTTATAAATAACATTTCTTTGATGATAGAAACAGTTTATCTTAATAAACTAATAGTAGTACGAGATATATTTCTACTTTTTAGTCAAACATAATGATACATTTTATTCAAAATAGAAATTAAAAACAATATAAAGCATGAGACTTTATCATACTTATTACCAGGTTCAAGATTCATATAGATGGTTAGAAGATCCTGATTCTGAAAAGACTAAAGCATTTGTTGATGCTCAGAATGCTGTTACCATACCATATTTAGCTTCATGCAAAGCACGTCAAGATATTCATGATCGATTAAAACAATTATGGGATTTTCCAAAATATTCATGTCCTGCTAGATATGGAAATAAGTATTATTTCTATAAAAATACTGGCTTACAAAACCAAAGGTAATAATAGTAAATATTAATCTATGTTTGATTATTATACATGAATATTTCTTTTTCCAGTGTTCTGTATGTACAAGATACATTGGATAGTGAACCTAGAATATTCTTAGATCCAAATACTTTGTCAGAAGATGGTACCATTGCGATTACTAGTAGTAAATTTAGCGAAGATGGTAGCATATATGCATATGGTTTGTCTATTAGTGGATCTGACTGGTGTACAATCCACTTCATGAATACAGAAACTGGTACAATTTGCATTTTTATCTGTAAAAAGAATTTATAATTACATGGCTCATAGTCTCAATGCTTAAATAATACATATAGGTGAAAAATACCCAGAAATTTTGGAAAAAGTAAAATTTTCTCCAATAACATGGACTCACGACAATCGTGGAATCTTTTATGGTTGTTACCCAGATCAAAAAGGTAAAACCGATGGTTCAGAAACAGAAGGTAATCGAGATCAAAAGCTATGCTATCATATTGTTGGTACACCTCAGTCAGAAGATGTCATTGTAGTTGAATTTCCTGAAGAACCTTTATGGAGGATGTGAGTGATACATTATGTATGTGTTTTAACAAAGTTGATTAATTGTAAATACGTATGATTGCATCCTATGTGTTTCATGCAAACATATTTGATTAAATATTACCTAACACACTTGTTGCATATGTTTCTCTGTCTTTAGAGGCGCACAAGTTTCTGATTGTGGAAAATGGTTAATTGTTACACCTGTGAAAGATTGTAGAGATAATTTAGTTTACTTTACGGAATTGAAACCAGAGAAGAAAATAGCAGAAAAGTTACAATTAATCCAAGTAGTTGACAAACTTGAAGCTGATTATGAAGTTAGTGATAATAGTAGCATGAATATTTATTCTTTTAGTTTTAATATTTTTTTTACTACTTAACCTTTTCTTTCCTAATTAGTATGTAACAAATGATGATACCAAGGCAATATTTCGGACAAATAAAAACGCGCCGAATTACAAATTAATAGCTATAGATTTATTGGATTATAAGCAAGAAAAATGGGTTGATCTTTTACCAGAACATCCTGATAATGTATTAGATTGGGCATGTGCAGTTGACGGTGATAAATTTGTAGCTTGTTATATTGCAGATGTTAAGGTAACCATGAATTAATATTACTCAAAACAAATACAAAAAATTGTAACATTGTGATGGAAAAATTTAGTATTAAACAAAGTAAAAATGAAGTTATGATGTCATTAATCTTGTTTGTTTTTTGTAGAATATTTTACAATTACACAGTTTAACAAGTGGTGAAAAACTTAGAATATTTCCGCTTGATGTTGGTACAATAGTTAATTTTGCGGGACAAAAAAAATATTCCGAAATATTTTATCAATTCAAATCATTTCTAGTTCCTGGTATTATATACAGAGTTGATTTGAAAAATGAAGAAGAACCACAAGTTAGTATTAACTTCACAAATAATAATGATATTACTAGGAACGTAACTTTAAAGAAAATTAAAAAGAATTGTATGTGTATATATATAAATGTATTTATAGGTACTACGCGAAATTAAAGTAAAAAATTTTGATCCAAGTTTGTACAAGACTAGTCAAATATTTTATACAAGCAAAGATGGTACAAAGATTCCAATGTTTATAGTAATGAAACATGTAAGTATTGTTTAAATTCATTAAATTTATACTAAACAAAGTACAATAATGGATCTTTTATTTAGGATGCAGTTTTGGATGGTTCCATGCCAGCTTTATTATATGGCTACGGAGGCTTTAATGTTAGCATTCAACCGACGTTTAGCGTTACAAAGCTGGTGTTTGTTCAGCATTTAAATGGAGTACTTGCCGTGGCAAATATTCGTGGTGGCGGGTAAGTTGAGTAAGCAACGACGTTAGTCGAATGTGTTTCTGATATATAATATTTTATTATGTATTTTAGTGAATATGGAGAAAAATGGCATAATGGGGGACGATTTTTTAACAAACAAAATGTATTTGATGATTTCCAAGCCGCTGCTGAATATTTGGTTGAAAAAGGATATACCACTTCTTCGAAACTAAGTATTTTAGGTGCCAGTAATGGAGGTTTATTAGTTGCTGCATGCGTAAATCAAAGACCTGATCTGTTTGGTGCTGCAATTGCTCAAGTTGGGTAAGTCGATATGCTAATTTTATTAAAAAATGTTGATCTTCTATTTTATCTTATATTTTATGTTTTACATTTATCGTACAGGGTAATGGATATGTTACGTTTCCATAAATTTACCATTGGTGTTGCCTGGGTATCTGATTACGGTAGTTCGGATGACCCAAAACATTTTGAAAATCTTTTAAAATATTCCCCGTTGCATAATGTGAGAATCCCGGAGAATGGACAGTATCCCGCAACATTATTATTAACTGCCGATCACGATGATCGAGTAGTACCATTACACAGTCTAAAACTTATCGCCACTCTGCAGTGTACATTGGGAAAATTACCACAACAAACAAATCCTTTACTAATTAAAATAGAGACTAAAGCCGGACATGGTGGTGGAAAACCGACTATGAAAGTGGTTAGTATTAACATATAATAATTAACTGATCATGCATGCATAATTAACATTGTATTTTTCATTTCAGATCGAAGAGAGTACAGACATTTTAGCATTTATTGTGAAGTCATTGAACTTAGAATTTAAATTGTAACATATATCGAGAATATTAACATTCTTATATTTGATACTAAGTACAGGTCTTTTAACACAATTCTGTCTATGGATCAAATCCTTTGTATTTTATCCTTCTTTGATTGCTGTGTTACTAATGTGGATATAATATGTTAGTAGGGAGAAAAAAAAATGAAAAACTTACTTTCTTCCTAACAGTTAATTGGACAGAATTAATTTTAATACATTCGAAAACATTATTGCTATACAATGGGAAGTGTTTTTACATTATGAACGTTCATATTACGAAATAATATTTCGAAATATTCTAGAATGCTTTCAGCAAATTATTTTATAGTAAAAATCTTTTTTGTATCAAATAAAAAATTTATGTAATTTACTATAGCCTACCTCTCCCATTTAATGTAACAAAATACATTTTCTAATTCACGTTACTAACTTCTAGGATTAAGTGATAATATTGATCAAATTCTATATAATGTGATTTTTTATTTTTATTAAATATTGAATAACAAGAAAAGATTTTATTGATAAAATATATTATTGAACTTTTACGTTTTACGTACATTTAACATTAAAAAATTAGGAAAAATAATATAGGATATCTTATTTTTTTTACAATATTTGTTTATAAAGTTTATAACAGAAACTATATATAAAATTTAACAACATACATTAACAATATGTTTGTTTCTAACTGCTATAATAGTATCACAATTCATAATATGTAGTCCTTAAATGTGGATTTATGCGTTTTTAATATTATTAAATTTATTAATCAAATTTCAACATTAGCTCTTGGAAATAGAGTGTTAATATAACGAATATGTTTGTTTGTACTTTCCAGATTAATTTGTTCAGGAACTTTTATTTATTATAATCTTGTGCGAAATATTTATAATGAACGAAATAAATTATTGAATGATACATTACAAAACTATTTCAAACGACTTAAATTGTTTATATTCTTTAATTTGAAGCAAATTTGCCCGAATACAAAGCAAATATATAAAACTAAAGTGTCATTTATTTTGAAAATAAGATATGCATAACAAAAGTTCATATTAAACACTTAGTATATTAAAAATAAATATAACATTACTAGCAAAAACGAATATGTGCATTTTATTTTTATACATTGTTCTATGTGCTTGTAAAAAATTATATCTATATATATTATGTTATTAACTAATATTTCGTAGGTCGTTCATGAAAATCTTTTTAGTATAAAAGCGGAGGAAAGTCAATAGTTCTTAGTACTATTTACATCGCATGTGCAATACCCTGAATATGATTAATTATGGCACGTGATAGATTTAACGCAATGCCTGAACGCAAATATTAATGTTTAGATTTGAATGCATTGATATATAATTTGTAAGTTCATTTAATTTCCATATCACATTTGACAATCGAAACCAGTAGTGAACAGAGCGGTGAAGAATTGTGAAAACAGTTTACCCATGTATTGTTCTTCTTTTACTGGCCACATACCCTCCATGAAACCAATGTGACCGCCGCGGGATGTTACAACAACAGCTACATTTTTAGTTTCTGATATTTCTTTTACTGGTATGGCTAAACGAAAAAAAGATATTAAAAAAGGTTATTATCATAAATAAATTATCTTAAATAAATAATATAAAAAATAAGCACGACTAATGTAATCATTTGGTGACTTAAAATAATAATTTACCTTGAAATGGTTGAAATGGGTCGTCTGCAGCGCTGAGACACAATAACGGCACGTCAATCAAATGTAATTTGTCATGTATGGTTGCATTGGAATAGTATTCCTCTACATTTTTGTAACCGAATTGTTTCACCGTAAAATGTGAATCAAACTCTCTCAATGTTTGACTCTGATCACATAAAGAAAGAAAACACAGTTTAAAAATAATAACATTAATTTTAAATGAATTTTAAAAGTAAATATTTTATAGTAATTCCAGTAGACAAGCTTACTTTAAGAATAGTGTCAATGTCAACGTCGAACATTCCGGTTTCCGAAGAATAGTGTAAACGCCGTAAATTCTTACGAAGTGTGCTGGCCAAATACTTATTTAACATCAAATTAAAATAATTCTCTTCCGTACTTTTCGTTGCAGCGAATACGTTCCATGGCACGGATATCAAGAATCCCCCTTTTAGTTTTCCTTTTGCCATTACTCCTTGTCGTGCTAAATAATTACCTAAAATTAATCTGAAAAAATACATGCATAACAAAAGAAATTATTATTATATCGCTACTGATACTGTCATAATATATTAATTACATCTCTTATGTGCCTTCTATGTATAGATACGAGGACGATGAACAAACAAATGATTTACACACACACATATATATATGACACTTATACAACTGTTTTACATATAAGGAAAAGATTTTCTCATTACCCTCCCATCGAGATTCCTGTCGCTCCCAGGGGCACATGAGGGTGAATCTTCTTCACGTATTCGATAACCTCTGATAAATCGTCACTATTTGCAGCGCAATACATTCGTGGAGTCTGAAATTGTACAATTACTTGATTAAACTTCCATTCCAATTTCCAAGAAAGAAGGATAAGTAGACTGAACGTGTAGAATTGAAACAACTCGAGAACAATAAGATAAAATACCATTGACTTTGTTCTCAATGCATTTTCATTCATTCATCAATTTGATAGAGTTGTACATATACAGGGTGATCGGTAACTGGTGGTACAAGCGGAAAGGGGGTGATTCTACGCGAAAAAAGAAGTCGAAAATGTAGAATAAAAATTTTTCGTTTGAGGCTTTGTTTTCGAGAAAATCGACTTTGAATTTTCGCTCGGTACGCGTGCGGCACGTTACAACGGATCTCACTGTAGATCGTTGTCTCGATGGAAAATTAAAAAAAAAAGAAAAAAAAAAATTTTTATTCCATATTTTCGACTTCTTTTTTCGCGTAGATTCACCCCCTTTCCGCTTGCACCACCAGTTACCAACCACCCTGTATATATATATATAAATATATATATATATATATATATATTTAGTAATATGTACATGTATATAATAAATATTACTAAACATAAATTACTAAAACAGACACGTTAATAAAGGAATATGATAGAAAGATCGATACATATTTTTTATACAAAATTTATATATGTTCTTATACCTTTAATTCTACGCCTCCTAATCCCCTGTTGTTGAAGATTACGCATCGTATCCCAACTTTTTTTGCGGACGAGACAAGGCACTTGATATATTCTGCTTGACTTGCGCCGGTGAGTCCTGGCAGAATAATCACGATGGGCGAAGTAACGGAACATCCCTGTTCCGCCCAATCCAGAGCCACTTCACCCCCATCCGACAAGGTCAGAATCTCTCTGTGAGACAATTGATTAATTAGATCGAAAGCAAACGAGTCTGGTAATTAGCTTGTAATCGTGCACTTCAAGACAAGAGCGGTCATTAATCTTTGCTTGTACCATGCTACAATAAGTTCTTCTGACGTAAGAAAAAAAGTATACATTGCTTAGGATAATTAATATTCTGGTATAAAAATGCTAGTATTTGAATCAACAATTTAATACAAAGATAATTTGATTAACAATTAACATCTTTGATTTTTATATTTCAATTCCAGTCAGATAATTTTCCTTATTTTCAATTGTAAGCTTTCTTTATTGCACTATTTTTTTCTCTTCTCTTATGGGAATTAATTTTGTACAAAAATGGGAGTAACGTTAGACGTAAACCAACCTTTTATAGTGAATAGGTGGCAAGATTCGCGATCTAAGAAGGCTTGCTATAATGGTTTGTGCCCTGGATTCGAAACACCATAGGGTTGGCCAAAACTTGTTCCTCACTAGAGATACGTGCTCTTCTAGAAATGATCGGAATGGTCCATTCGCACATACCAGCATAGGCGTCTGAAAGTCATTTAAAAGGCTTGCTATTTTTTTCATCAACTTATTGGTCGCAATGAGCGGTCTGATCAACGAACATTAGAGCTGAGCAGCTGCAGGGGATTGAAGATAATTTATAGGTACCAAAGAAATTGAAAGAATATATTTATTCATGATAACTTTTTGTTGCTTGACTGCTGTAATCACCTTTCAATTATTATGTACTATTACGGGAAAATATTTTTTGATATATTAATTTAATAACGAATTACAAATTCTCTGTAGATATAAACTTAGGAAACATTCGATTATTATATGAAAATGGGGAGCCAAGTGTTGTAAATTATGAAGATAGAGAAACGATTCTATTTCTTGAAATTAAAATTTTAGATTTGCTAAATATAGAAATGGATAATGCGAGTGAAAGAGAAAGAGGGACTGAAGGTAGGGAACATTCGACAAATATTAAAGAGTCGCAACAAGCTGCAAACTTTAACTCAAAAAATTTTTATTTTTGATTTGTGGTTGATGAAACTTTTACCAACACATTTGTTACATGTTTCTGACTAAAATGACATCAGACACAATATAATTTAGCGTATATTTGCTTATTTAATAAACGATAACTAAATATATATCAGTAAGTAAATATGATTCAGATTATATCATGTTTGGTCTTATTTTCATCAGAAAGATTTCTTAAATACATTAGTAAAAGTTTCATTAAAAAAAAGTCAAAAATAAAAATGTTTTACTTTTGAATTAGTACCTAAATACATTGTCTCAACGATATCTGATACTGGATCATATAACATTACTCGATTGCGGCGGGCCATCGAGCCTCTGGCTAGGTTAGGGGGCTCAGGTCTCGCACCCCCCTCCCCCCATTTCTCCGCTCGTAGTAGGGATGACGACTGTGCAATTATGCACAGGGTCTGTTTGTACGATTATCGGATGTTTCCTGTAATTATTCATAAGTTTTTATGAACGAATAAAATGTTTATTTCACAAGTAGCGTTTCTTGCACTGTATGTACATGACTCATAAAAAAATTTAAAGAGAAGTAGATTAATTATCATCGGTATCATCATTCATAAAGAACTTTCTGTGATAGTGGATATAAAATAGATAAAGACTATAATTTGTATCAGTTTTTGGAAAAAAATATTTATATATTCTCAGATGATTTGATGTTACATATATGGTGATTTGATGTTACTTAAGCCATAAACATAATTTTCATTTCCATAAAAAGAAATCGATTAATATACATATATAACATAGACTTGAACTAGTACATAGTACATTTATGTAAGTTATTTAAATTCTATGTTTTGTTACATGTACAGGGTTATGCATTTAACTCGGAACCCGCGCTTGCAGTACATTGAGTATGTACTGTGAGAATGGCAACAGTGTAGCATGAGGCTTACTACTCCAATCAAATGTCGTGAACCAACTATGAGCTGTCGAATACTGATAATCTGTGATTTAAAGATACGTTCGTGTTCTTATTGTTCTAACATAAATAACTTTTGTCGTTCCCCGACTAGTTCGAACGCAGTTCACAACAATTGTGGCATTTGAATGCGATTTTGAATAAAAATTACATTGCAATTACATTTCAGATAAGCTAAATTCAAGATATCTGTTATTAAAAAATTGAGCTACATGTGCAAACAAAATCGCGTTCGCTTGCGTGTTTCGAAGTTTCGAGAGCTCGCAGGAACATGAAATCGTTGCTTATTCCTCTCCTTATTGCGATGTTAAATTGAAAGTCCTTCGGCGATAACCAAACTACTCTGTGTTCTCACTTAATTATACTTCTAATAACAGCTAATAAATGGCTTACGACATTTGATTGTAGTAGGAAGCGTATATGTTACATTGTGACCGCTTCAATATTCTCGCGAGCGCGGATCCTGAGTTAAATGAATAACCTACCCTGTACGTATAGAAAGTTTACGTTATTGAAGTACGATAACTTAAATTTACAAAAGTAAGATTTCTTCCATTGTTCTGTTTATATTGATACAAAATTGTACGTTAATGTATGGAAATACATTGTCCGTTTCCATTTACATTTTAACCACAAAAAAACCACATATGCTCCTTGCATGTGTTTGCAGCAAGTGTAACACAATCTCTCCACCAGGTTCTGTAAATACTTTAAGATCACTATATATTCCACGTCTTTAGATCGAATGAAAAAAGGAGAGAAAGGTAAAATCAACCAATATACTGTCCTGAGAAGATATTCTGCACATCGATTTTTTTCCCTGATGAACATTCTTTTTCATGATGAATAATTTTTTAAATTTCACTGTTTTTGTCTGCTTTCTTGCCACATTCAGATTTGTATTTTGTATTCTTTAGTTTTTGATCACGCTAGAAACTCACTACTAGATATATATTTACTGCTTTCAATAAATCGTAAAAACAGATTTAATGTTTATCTATGTATGTAGATAATAATTGAGCACGTGAATACAGAGATGTTTATGATTATCTAGTATTGTATTATTTTCAATTCGAGTAGTTGTTATTTAGCAAATACATACGATGTTACCTGTTCCGGTGTTGCGTGCGCTGCGCGCGCACACCGAATGCACATACAATATGTTCACTGCAAGTGCCTCGGAGTTTTTAAGGTCGAATTAATAGATGATACATCTCCTCGTGGCTCGTACGAACCATGAAGGGTGTGTGAGAGTTCGAAGTATTCGTAATCGAATCATATCGCGGAAGTCCTGATAATATATCGATATAAATTAATAAACTGATAAGAAAAAATTCTTTGACTTTGAAAATTTCTCGATAGATTAATCAAACGTGATTATCACGAAACTTTAATAACGTTGCAAAAAATCTATTTAGGTCGTACCATTAATAGATTAGACACGAAATATTAAATTAATATGAAATATATAGCAAATATCTTCTATTGTATATTGCAATTTTTAAGTAATTCATATCAAATAATATGATTTCTTCATCGTTATTTATAAACAAGTTGCTTATATATGATATTAGAGATATTAGACTTTCAGGGATGGATTATGTGTGGTTAAGGTTAATGTACTTTAAAATTATCAATGCGGTTATTGATGATTCAACTTTGTAGTTTTCCCTCATCATGAGCCACATCTCCGAGTAGCGATTATTTCTTCGTGAAAGTCTAAATAACTTTCGCTTACAATTAGCCTCAGAATGAATTTAATGTTTCAAGTTGTGTTGGCGAAGTTTATCTTTCTACAATAAATGGCGTTAATAGAATGAAGGCAGACACTATAGACGCGTGACTCTGGACTAAATGTGGTGCTGATTGAATTTAACGAAGGTTAAAAGTCTGCGGATAAATGCTATCCGCCGCGCCGTCGTGTATAATTCAATTGCAAATTTAGATTCAGTTCCAAAATATTCATACGTGGGAACCTGTTTATCTATTATTCAATTTTACTTTCAATCATGTACCAATTTCTGTATTATTCTTTTATATTATCGATATATATATCGATTTATATTAATAACATTAAAAGTTTATATTAAAGTTATTATTTTAAAATTTTCTGTTATCTATCTTCTTTTAGAAAAACGTTTAATTTATAAATATAGTATCTTCTCTATACTATCTTCTCTATAGTATCTTCTCCCATCATTTTTCTCTAAAATCCACAAGTACATTGGTATTACCGTCATAAAATCATATTAAGTGCCTGTACTCAATCGGTCAATTTATTAATGATTCATAATATGGTATACTTCATTTTTTTCCATTGTTCTATTCGCGCGATTCATAAATAATAATTAATTTCCGGAAAAAATAGTAACAAAATGAAACAGAAGGTGTATTTATCAAGTTACTCACTTTAACAACTTCAAAAAGATAATAAGCGCAGAATCCAACGCCCAGCAGCGCCCCGTAGTAGGTCGTCGGAATGTCGAGAAGTGGTCCGAATAAATTCAACATCGTGCACTTTATCGATATGTGCGACGTGCGACAGCTGCTGTCACTGGCGTGACGTGAACTCCAATGATTACCAAGACCGTTGACAATCTTTGCTCGCCGAATGCCGATAGCGAACAGCCGATTGCTAAGCATTAGGATGGACTCGGTTGACCACGCGCATGACGTTCGAATAATTGAACAGCCAACTACATATAGATGTATCTCACTAGACGACCAACCGGTACCGCTAGTCATACATCGACTATACAGAAACGTATACTCGAGATTCAGTCACGTGCACACCAGTGAATCTCACATTCATAGACTAACACTTATGTCATTCTATACGTATACGCATTCAGAGTATAGGAGTCGTGTGCAAGGTATACAATATACCTGCAACCGAGAATTATGTAATATGTACAATGATTTCAACTTTTATATTAGCACCGTCAATGCAACTATGCTTCGATCATTTTACACGTGTTGAACTGTATTTGATGAAGGTAAAATTGTTAGGTACAAGTTACTTATACACGAAGTACTCACATACGTGTGTCAGTGACATTGTATTGTTAACATATACAAAACATTGGTTTTCTTATTACATGGTATCGTGATATTATTTTAGTTCGTTACATATTTGTATGTAGATCTTTTTTAATGTATCTATGTCCGAGCAAATTATTGAATTTATGTTATGCTTTTGTACTGTTTTCACAATTTAGGTTATATTGTGGAGCTTCGTATACACGTAACGAACATGATTACGAGCCGACAAAATTTCGCTTACATAAGTGTTCATAAGTTCGTCCACATGTCGCTTAATGTGTGTCATACCGTTTATTTTCAATAAATCGCGCCTATTTTATACAGGGTTGTAATTTGGCGAAATCGTTCCCCTACTTAAACTTCAATTTCAGGCGGATACGGAAATGGTTTTATATATTAATACTTAATGTAAAAAATGGAATACACATTTTAAGCAAAATGGTTAGAATAGACAAACAGAAATATAGTTTACTATTTTCGTAGTGATAGGAGGAACTTTTTAATTTATTCAGTATAGTATTGCAAATTGTAAATATCACATTTCTGTTTCATACGACATGCATTCGCAGCATGCAAATGTTTGGATAAGATTGCGGATAGTGTCGATACAAATGTGGATTACGTGAATGAAATATAAATAACTGAAATATGAACTCAGTTCATAAGTTCGCGTTTTTATACATTTATTAAAAAATAACGCGTAAAAATAATTTTATCGGCAAATATGTGAATTGGAATAAATCTTAATATATATTTTTATAATTCTGACATAGCAAAATTACGTACTTATGGGATTATGAAGCTTATTATAACAAACAGACGTTAAGATAAAAAAGTATCGATAACCTTCAAATAATCTGTATTGTTACTTTGGGCGAATATCTATTATAATTATCAAATGCACAGAAGCACGTTTTTTATGAATCATGTTTTTTTATCTTCGGTAATAGCAGAAATAATTAAGTATTCAATATATACACTCTGTATATATAAATGTAATATCATAGCTGCCGAAAGCGAAACTTCCTTTCTGAAACATTATTCTTTTTTAAATTGCGCAATATTTCTCTCCCAATTATCATTACCCAGAAGGTTCTACGAAATTTACAGCAATAGCGAGTAATTTGTGAACATTAATATATGGTTATCTAATCGTTTGTCAACTTCAAATAAAATAATATTGTATATTATTTATTTATTTATTTATTATTGCTTAGTCCGTGCCTTTCAACTTTGTACGAACTTTCGGTTTTACATCTCTTATACTTATTTCGCTTTTCATATATCTACCTCCCCTTTTATCCACTCTATTATATTGCACTCTTTAATTATTCTATTTTTAAGAACTAAAACTAACAAAAACTAAAAACTAAAAACTAATGACTAAAAAACTATTGCAACTTTGGGCCTTTGTCTCCTTGTTGTGCTTTCTTCCTGTCGGTCCTCCCCGTCTTGTACTGCCCTTCTCTTCTCTATTATTGCTTTTAGTTCTGTTAGACCTTCTCCAGTTTCATTTAGTGTTTTTTCTATGTCCTTTTGTCCTCCCGTTACTTCACATTCTTCTATTACATGTCTCAGGTATTCTTTCCTTTTACATAGTCTGCATCTGTTTTCTCCCTCTTCTTTCCAGTATTCCCTTGCTTTGGTCTCGTTTTCACATCTGAATCTTGCTAATATTCTTCTGTCCTTCCAGTTCATCCTCCCTTCTACGTACTTTGGTAATTCTTCTTTGGCGATTAAAATAATATTATATAACTAATATAATAATATTTTATCTGTATAACTTGTCCCATAGTCTGTATTTATTCTAAGAAGCCGCTAATGATATTGAGCCACAAGGTAATAAAATTCTTATTACCATGAGTCGGTAAAAATTTGTCTTTTGAATCATCATAACGAAAACATTTCTGATAAAAGGTGACGAAGTTAGTTTCAAAATGTACAATATTATACCTACGGAACAGGATATGAAACTTTATAAAAGGAAAGGAAAAAAATGTTAAAATTAAAGAATATTTTTTTAATCTCTTATTATTAAATAAAATTGGCGAGAAAATCGATTTTGAAAATTCATCGAATATGTTAACACTTAACTCCGATATCGATAAACTAAAATCGATAGACAGATAAAATATTGAAAACGATAAAATATTCTATAATTTATCAGGATAAAAGGAAAGATACAACGCGTACCAAGAAAAATGACTCATTTATTAAATACAGTCTTATACATTTCATGAACATAGTGAAATCGTATCGGCACCTGAATTTACTCATGCTTGATTTAAGCGACAGCAAGATTGAAAACCTCGCTTACATACCTATTCTCTTATAGACCAATATACACATATATTTTATTCGATTTCGTACTAGGTATGCTAGCAATCTGCTTTTTCGACGAAATAGTCATTTTGGTATGTAAACTAGACTCAAATCGTCACTGTCTGATCTGAGGGAGAATGGCCCGGAAATGAGAGTACTCTAAGAGTATCTCATATTTGTTTATACATGGACACCGCCAGAGAATCAGAGAACACTGAGATTGTTGCACATTTTCATTGAAACGGGAAGATAGCGTTTGATTACGGAAAGCACAAGTATACATCCGTGCAAGCAAACATCAAAGTAATTTAACTTCAAAAGAAGCAAATGTCTCTTGGCGTGTGTCGTTAATCGGAAATTAGCAACAAGTGTGAAAAGTAACGTCACTTGCGACAATTATAGTCTAAAATAAATATGTTTAACGATTTAACTTAAATATACAAAGGATAACAAACGATAAATTTTATAACACCGATCGATCCTCGACTAGCAAAGCGAAGCAAAAATAATTTAGCATCATTAAACTGAAGCATGAATAATAAATTAACAATTGAAGAGACGCGGGAAAAAACGTAATAAGTTTATCTTTTTGAATAATTTCGTTGTCCATTGGTGGTAAAAGTAACAGAGGAGAAAGTAACATATTCAATTAAAAATCTCTTAAAAACAGATAATGTTTTGGTAACATGATATTGATTATTGAATTTTGAAATTACTGATTATGTTCTTTCTGTAGTCTCTAATTATAATTACCGAAGAGAATACGAACAGAAATAACAAAGTAAAAAATTGCTATAGATCTAATCTATGTTATATAGCTATAATTATTACAGATTGAACTCTGTTAACAATTCTCTGCGAACTGGATTGCACAAACTAATAAATGTCAAAAGAATACATAAAATCGCGTATAATCTCAACTGCACTGCGTTTCTAGTCGAGGGTCAATAATTCGAACAGTTAAGTTTGTTTCTAAACGGATCATATTACCTAGCGATGTCCACACTCGTACTTACGTAACACACGCTCGCGTATAATAATACGAAAACAACAGATATGTAAGAGTGTATGTACGAGCATGTAAGGGCCTGGTAATTGTTAACAATGACTTCACGTCGTTCATCAGCGTTTAAATAGAATCTATGTTCGGTTTCATATAGCTAAAAGCTCGGTTTCTTTGTAGAACTTTGTGATTTTATTATGGATACTTACTCTTGACTCAATCGATATTTTAGGTTCACGTTTCATTTGAATCTCTTGTTCTAGGCTCCGACACTTGTCAATTCAGTTCAACATTATTAACTTCTCGCAAGAAAAAGAGAGTAAAGGTTGGTTCGATCGTTGAGTGAGATTAATTAAAGACATGGCACCATTGTCATGGGAACAACGAACGGTCTTAGACTGGTTTTCGACCATTAATTCCCGGCATCAATGTGAAAAAAGTGTTGGTGAAACACAAAGGAGACTCGAGGCAAAAGGGTGATTGATAATTCGAGAACCTTCCGTTGTTCAGGCGATCGATAAATATTTCTTTTTTTACTTTATCACCCCTCGTTGCATTAATCATTCCAACTGACGCTAGACGGATTGCACCACTTTCCAATAAAATACGACTACCGTTTCAACGTATAAACATGTTTCCCTCGAACAGAGGAGGGTTGTTTGTCGGAGATGGTCATCGTTCCTACCTAAGAACGATCGATCACCATCTCCCGTATTATCGTGATTCCATGAAGATGGCGATGCCCATACAGGGTTGAATACAGATTCCATTTAAATGAAACGTACACGAGGTCATATTCTAAACTCCACGTAGAAAATTTTTCAACATCCTGACGTCTGGCACCCGCGTATTACTAACACTCCTTAATCCTATCTCGGCTGACGTTGTTAGCTTTCCTTGGAGTAAAATCTTGATAAATTACTTGACGATAGCACATCTTGTACATAGCTATACATATGTGCATGTGTATGTGCGTATACACCTCGCAGTTTCAAGATACGTTACAACTCGCTCTTCTGTTTGCCGTGTGTCTTGTCGTAATAGACATTCAGTATCGGATGTTGAAATTTGCTCGCTATATATCATGAACTACGACCGCAATTCGACTCGCGGACGTATTTCGCCCAGGTACGGGCGGGAGTTAGGTCACCCTTTCTAGGACGTCGCGGCTCGCTGCTGGTGCGCGCCTGTTCCATGATTTTGCGATAAGTCTCGTCGTCATAGGTACAAGATAAACTCTTTCTCAGTTTCACTCCACCAGTTTCGAAATTCGCCGGCTGACTGCCCACTAGCACGTGCAGATCGTTCTTCACCTGTACCGCCCAGTCCCACATCTCCGTGATGAAGCAATTGCACACGAATGGATTGCTCAGCAAATTGACCGACAACAGACGTGGATTCGACCTGAATATTCGTGGATAGATAGAGTTCAAACTGTTGTTGCTGAGATCTAGGTGTTCCAGCATTTCTAGCTTCTTCAGAGAAGCCAGATTCTCCGTGCCAGAAATACTGTTATTGGATAAGTTTAATTGGGTTAGACTTCTAGTTGTAGAAAAGAGGTTTTCATTCAAATGTTGTAAGCTGCAGTTACTTAAATCTAGCATTTCGAGATTGGATAATTGTGTTGGAAGCAGGGGACCATTCTGAGGTACTTCCAGAGCGTTTCCACTGAGCTTGAGTTCGATAATGTCGGTGCTGATTCGGTCGCCGAACACCTTGGGGTCGATGGGAGTCTTCAGGTCACAGTTGTTCAGTTCTAAACTCTCCAATCTCGTCAAGTTCGCGAACAATCCCTCTTCCAGGGTATGCAACTTGTTTCCGGATAATATTAATTTCTTTAGCGAAGTCATATGAGCGAATGTGTTATTTCCAAGATGACCAAGATTACAAAAAGACATATCTAAATATTCTAATGATTCCAGTGGATTTAATAAACTACCAAACGCATCTGACAAAGGATTATGCGAGATATCTAGTTCCTCCAGGTGTTCGAATACGTGAAACGTATTAGGCAGACGTTGCAGGCTACAATTACTTAACGAAAGCTTGTGAAGCTTTGGCAAATGACGCAACACGGCTGTCAATTCATTAGCGAACATTGGATTGTTGCTCAAGTTTAATACACGTAGTTTGCTAGCGTTTTTAAAAGCTTCTTCCGATAGACGATCTTGTAAATTGCAATTCGATAAATCTAACGATTGAAGGCTGTGGAGATTATGGCCCAGCGTGTTTCCAACATCCAAATGGCACAATTCGTTATTAGCAAGCACCAACTGCCTGAGGTACAAATTCTTTGCAAAAGCATCGCCTGGCAAATTGGTGATATTAGTCTTTTTGATGTTTAAGTATTCAAGACGAATCAGAGGTGCTAATACGTTTGTCCAGCTCAATGTATGTAGATCATTTTCCGCCATTTCGAGTTCTCGAAGGTTTTCCAAATGTGCAAACACATCTGGAGAGATGTGGGTTAAGTTGCAAGCGTTTAACTTCAGATATTCCAGATTAGTGAGGTGATCAAATGGGCCGGGCTTGATCTGTCCGAGTGAATTATGGGATAAGTCGAGTTTATTTAGGTTCGTAGTATTGTAAAAGAATTCCGTATTCAAGTGATGGATGCCACACGAGTTCAGATCGAGGTAGAGCAGAGTGCGACAATTTAAGAAGGGACCTTCCACCTCGCCCAAAGGATTGTTCTGAAGCTCCAGCGAAATTAGACCAGGACTGTCTCTGTAAAAATATTGAGTTTTTATTTATAATGTAATTAGAAGGGCTATGACATGAGCTTAGTTCTTGTAAGTACATAAAATAGCTATTTTTGTTAATTCTGCAAGGAAACTTTAAGGAACTGTAAGGAAAGGACTTGTAACTGAAAAAGCCAGAGCGTTCAAACGAAGCAGATTTTGAACGGCAAATTCGAATTAGTTTAGGAATAAAGTTTCATTACAGCGCTGAACATGAAAGAAAAAGCTATTTCAGAACCTTTAAACAAAGATGTAATGAAGCTAATGGAATAATAATTAATTGAAACATTAGATCGATATCTGTTTATTGAGTGAAAATGGCTTTTCTACTATATTACCGATCGCTTAATTAAACACATATGATGTCTATACTAGATTTTGTGATACTACTTGTTTCTAGCACAGCATTGTTAAAATAGCATGCACCGATTAGAATTGAATTATTTGAAAGATACTCAAGATAATATTATGAGATCAGATTTATTACAGTATGTAATATGTTCTATATTGTTTTGAAAATATTCGTATAACACAGAAGACTATATTTTTCTAAAGACTAAAAATTTCTAAAAAAGGTCAAGCATAATATTTTGAATTTAAGAAATTCAATTCAGGCACGTATTTATTATAGTGCTGCAATAAATATACGATAACATAAAAACGAGGAAAATCTATTTCTCTGTATTATAATAGGCAAATTAATTGATTACTAAATCAATTTAAAGTGCATATTTGATGACGTAGTTTACCAATTTTCCAACTTTCATTTCTCAAATATATTCTATGATTTACTGATCAGTAATACTTCAATATTTCCTTAGAAATACGTATAAAAATCAATGTGAATGCAGAGCAACAAGACAATTCATATGATCTCGTTATATATGTATAGTAATATCAAATATTACGAGAATAAATTATTCCTAGGCAATATTAAAAAATATAAGTAAGAATAATATAACTGTCTGGAAATTATTGAAATTTAATAATTTAATTGTATCATAAGGTCCTGTCATTTATACCTAAAATTAAACAAAATTAATTATCAATTAACCAACATTTTCTGTTTCAAAATTTCCTGATTTTTAAGTTTAAATATTTTACACAAATTTTCTTAAATTGATTTAATCGAATAATGCCAATTCGAAAAATTAAAAGTTCCTGCATTTTATATATAAATCACTACCTACTCGTTATGAATAAAAAGTTACAAATATTTTGTTATTACAGATTGTTTATGTACGTACGCGCGTGTAGCAGACGTTATACGCAGAAAACGAACCAAATAAAAAATCCAAAAGTGCTCTTACCTAAATGCCTCGGGATCGACATGAGAGATCGCGTTTGATGAAAAGTCCGCCTCCAGTAGATAATTTAATCCAGCAAAAGATTCATACTTGAGCTCAGTCAATCGATTATGTGCCATCTGAAGACGCCTTAGCTTGATCGAATGTGGAAATGGACCGACCTGTGCGATATTATTACCGTTCATATCTAGAACGTAAATGTTCGGGCTGAGCTCGTCAATCGGTATGCTAGTTAAATTGCTTTCGGAGCAGTCGGTCACCCAGTTGATGCGAAAATAATGACAATGACAGTCTACAGGACACTCTTGTTCCACCAGATCGCCATTATAGGCAAATGCCGATGTACCAAGAATGGCTACTAATAAAAGTAGTCTCAACATCTTGGTAAACACGGGATATCTGTAAATAAAAATAATTATAAGTAGATATAAATGCAGATTTTTATGAATTTATGAGAAATTTAAAGATGTAAAAATGCACAGTATGTAAATAACATATAAAAATATGTAAAATATTCAAAGTATAATGCTCGCTATGATATTTAGTAGCTGGAACAAACCTCCGTCTGGAACAAACCTACTCTTTTACCCGTATTTATAAAAATATGAATTTGCATAAGTATCCGCAAAGATCATTTGTATAAGTATTTTCGTAAGTTTCATAATTATAAGAATCTCAAGAGCTCAATTTATTTTGTACATGCAAAAGGAAGAAAATGTGTTCTTTAAAAGTTAATGTAATTATTAATTCAAACATAGCTGATATTTATTCGCAGAGAAATTGTCGTATAATACCAAGAAAAGAATTTTGAATTCAGATTTGCATTCTAATCTGATCGGTTGGTTCTTTTATTCCTTATATTTAATATACAAAGTAAGTTTGTAAGCTTATTTCCGCAGGCATTCTCGCGAAATTTCACCACGAGCAGGAACATCCTTCTCGACATTCTAAAAGAAACTTCCCCCTGTCTGCAAATACGGGATTTCGTCGTCTTCAAACAAAACGTTCGGCGTTTAAATTTGAATAAAGTTCGATAACTTACAGTTCGGTAACCTACTTCAATAGTTACTCTATATCTGTATAACCGTATCTCCAGCATGCGCGTATCTGTGATGCAACACGAGCATAGTCATATAATACTGAAATCTTAGTAAAATTACCAATTTCCTTATTTGATTAAGTATTCAGCTGTAAACATATTATATGATACCGGTATGTATTTAATGAATAAAGAAATCAACGAATAATGGTTTTTGTTATCTTATCACGTACCTATTATATACATGTATATACAAATTACAAATGAATGCATTGTTGGAGAAAGGGAGAGAAATCATCGCCACCGAGAGACGATGAGATTTACTTTAGCCAACTATGACGACGACGATGTTCATTGTAGTGTATTGCCAACAAGATAACTGGCGAGTACTAATGGTTTAAAGCAAGTGGAGCAATTGTCAGTTAGGAACGGACTTTGCAATTGGCGGTCGGTAATTCCGAGCAACAATGCACGGCGCTACAGGTCGTTGAGCCAGAATCGTTAATCGTTCCCGTAAAGCGCTCTTCACTGGTCTTTTCTGATGTTTTCAGATACCTGTTCCCTCTTTTTTTAACAATACAAAAGTATGCCATTGAAAAAGTCCTTGTTCGCTGGACAATTATTATCGTTTAAATTCGTTGGTAATTGTAGTTATCCGTTACGAGACTGGAGTTTAATTGCCGTGCCATTCTTCTATCGGTAACGATTATCGTCGAAAGAAAAAGTAAGATTTTCGAGGATAAAACATTTTTTATACGTAAATGTAAAATATAAGCCGTTGATTCGATGGGAATACAGTGAAAATATTATTATGGAAGACATCCCATTTACAGTACCATCAAACGTACGTTTCTATTCATTACTGTCGGTTCGCTGGTCAAACATACACGCTTGATAGAGGTAATTTTGTATGTATTAAATTCCGAGCACAATCATCTTGATTATGGCGATGAATAACATTTGAGTAAGTTTTCATGTTGGCTACGGAGAAGCGGCTACATACGTACAAAGAAAGGTGGCGACGCTTCTGGCCAGTAGTCAACTTCACAAACGAAGCCCAGAGGAAGGCTTTCCGCCAGAATGCTACGCGTTGCACGCTCTACTGCCCCTTCAGCTTTCTACGTATAGTTTGCCTTCGGCCTAGACCATTACTATCCTCCAAAGAGCCAAAGGGAGTCGAGGGTGTACGAGGAAGTGTATTTTCCCGTTTCGATTCCTCCTTGTGTTTCTCGCTATTGCCTCGCCTTTGGCGCCATAGATCTTTCGTTTTTAAATTCCATCCGAGCTAGGAGTTCATGTCTCACTGACGCGACGATAGAGACTATGCGTGAGGGGATCGAGTCATTTGCATTGAGTCTTCCGGCAAGAGCTTCAATTCAATTCATACTTTTTGCAAATATCATCTCCTTTATATATCTATTCTATCTTTCGCACTCGAGATTGTCAAATATTGGAGTGGAAGGGAATACTTCCAGCCGAATTCAAAGGAAATCCGAGTGCTTTCTTTGGCTAGAGTGATTCGGTTTTTCTCTTTCTTCAACAGTATATCAACCGGTTTCAGCAGTCGGTTTTTTCCGCTGAAACTTTCTTATCTATCTAAATCGGTAACGTATCGACGATATGTCTCATGACTATGATATTCAAATTGAAATTGCTACGAACCTTGTGCTTGCATTCTCTTAACTGTTTTGACGAGACAGACGATTATGCAACCTGTGATATACTTTATTTCCTGCAGCTTGCAATTTGAATTATTCTTTCGCCGTGTTTTATCTATTTGATCTCGTAGAATAATGTTTAATAATTGTCAAATAATAATGTTTGAGACATTTAATGATATAAAAAGTAAATTTTATACATTATAAAATATTAACTTCGTGGTACTGATGTATATTTATACATCAAAAGTATATTAATATATTTATATACAAAACATGCATCTTTTTGGAAATTTTATATGTGTATAAAAGTAGCACGCTACTTGTTTTTTAATATAAATTTTATTATTTTTACTTGTACTATTTTTATAAAAATTATAATACAAATTATTTTTACGTTCTTACTGAAATAATAGAGGCAATAGCAGTATTTAAACTAAAAAAACAAGTAGCGCTGCTTTTGATAAGAGAGTAAACTTCCGGTCATTATCAACTGAAACTAATGCACGTAGGCTACATACTTCACTATAGCAAATAAAAAGCAAACACTTTACGTTACTATCATTCTAAACGAGATATAAGTCGAGACTCTTTTTAAAATTATAACTTTATGAACATGAATTAAACGAAAAAAGAGTGCATTATCAGTACATCTTAACTTCGATGCCATCGTTGTTGAACCGAATAAAATAATTAATTAATCGTTGCTTACAATTGCACGAAAGCAAGAATATTTACATCGATTATCATTTTCATGAAAAAAAGCCAGTATCAAATGAATATTCATCGTGAAAACCTGGTACAATCCGGGTCATGATGCGAGATTCTAACGATTTACTAGAGAACGTTTCGTCGCGCACGAGTCAATCGGATTCGAAAATACTAATGACATCGTATCTAGAATTCGACATACAAACTGAAAACGCACTTTACATACCGGAAAAGTAGCGTATCCTTCCTTCCCATGGAAGAGTGAGGTTAAATCGCGAACGTCGTCAGGATTTGAACGTGCCACTGGACAAAGATAGATTGAACTGTGAGTTTGCAGGGATCCGGTTAAATTAAACCATGTCTGCCTGACCGAGGTCAGGGTAAAACGTACTGACGCGCACTCTCGTTCTTTCTGCGTCGTATAAGTTTCGCGACGCGCGTCTTTTCAGGGTGTTATGTTTCTCTCTCCCCTCTTTTCTCCTTCACATATGATCACATACACACATAGGCACTGTATTTCATCCTCTCTTGTTGAATACTAATTGAATTATTTAGCCGGTAAATAACAAACAAAAATCTTACGCTTTTGGGTTGTAAGGTATTCTAACCTCCTTAGTCATGAGAAGGCAAAGTTTACCTGTTGAGGAAAATTTGATATGTCGTACACTCTTGAACATATAATTCGTTCACTAGCTTTATGATTCGACGTTATTTTATGTGATTATGTTCTCGAATCACGGTTAATAATCTCTTGTTAAATGAGAGGGATTCGCAACATGAATCTCGAAATTGTATACACATGAAACGCATGCGCATTTCAGTTAACCCTTTTCGAAAACGTGTTTCATTCAATTTGTCAATTATCTTGAGGTTAGCATATAAGACGTGTACTTTCTCGTTTACGTAATATATTTATCACGAACATTAGTGAATTTCTTTCTGGACGTTTCATCATTAGGCAATTTTTAATATCTTCATGACATGACGCTATGATGATATTCTGTTGTGCAATCACATTTGACACGTGTTTATTGATTATTCATTATCTACATGAATTACAGTGTACATAAATTTTTTGTATACTGTAAAATAATTAACAATGTCTCATGTTCTGATTAGATGTGTTCAATGTATCATAAATACGATAATAAATGTGGAATAATAATTGAATCAATTGGTATTTATTTCACATTTGATGTATATTTGTCACATGAAGATAAATACCTACATGTTTTCTAGTAAAGGTAAAAATATATTTTTATTAAACTCATACCTTGTGTATAATTTCTGCTTCTCTATTGATATCTGTTATTTTACACTACTTATTTGTACAATAACAATTTTAATACTGAATGCTGGAGGGATAATGGTTAACACTGAAGTAGACACCGGTGACACACACGCGCATGCGTTCTCTATTACTCTCGATTGTCCTTAGTAATACATATTTAAATTGAAGATTAATGTCTTGGGTTTCATAACTATGCTAGATAAATAGCCTACATGATATTTTTAATCCACGAGCCTTGTTTGCGCATGTAAGATTCACTTACCAAATATTTTTTTTAACGAGATGAACATATACGCAACTTCCGAACAACAATGAGTATCACGTTTCTTTTTCGCATGTTTATACGAATTGTACATACAAGACATACATCCATATAGATATACACATTTTCAAGGTGTACAGTGTACAACTTAGGTTAGGGTCAAACCGAGAGATGGGGCAACCAATTGTCTTATTCGAATACCGACTAAAAAATATTTGAAAATTTTCTGTGATAATGATATGTATGTATAATACAAAATCATACTGTTTTTATCTCTATATCGAATAATATTAACCGAAATTGTTTTCTTTAATAGAAGAAGTTATTTTATCAATACAGTTACATATAAATTTCCTTTGTCAATAATATAATACATATATGATGCTAATTGCATTAGTGTAATATTTTTGCATCAATTGTCGTAACACAACAAAGGTGCGCATATATTGAATGTCTGTAGAGGACAATGGGAAATCGATATGGCTTGGATGTGGTACGTGTCACTCGTACGTCTGAAAGCGTTTGTTCACGTAGTCAATGCGTGATTGAGTGATGAGTGCAGCACGTCGAATTCTGAAGAATTGCATTCGGTAGAATTGGAAGCGGAGGTCAGGCATTACGCCAGCATTGCGAAATGTCGGGAATAGGGATCTCATGATCTTGACTAGGAACAACGACCTGCCAGTCCCACTCGTATTTCTACAGCAAATGAGAGAGAGAACATTGATTAACTTTGCAATTGACATTAGGTTTCTCGATAACGTGGCTTTGAATTATTGCCTAAGATTAATTTCGCCCTTACAACAAGCACGTCATGGTGTTGACTTCATTTTTCCAAGTTCCAAACGAAAGGATTATGAAAACATCGAATATATATTTAATGGCACGTAACATGTTTCTTTCTTTCGTAATTAATAACTGGAAATGTTACGTACAGCGTTCGAAGTCTAAACTTTTTTACTAGAACTAATAAGTGCTTCGTATGCATTTTATATATTCCAATCGTTTATGCTAGTATTTTATATAATTAGTTTTATTTTTATATATGTTTATTTATAGTAATAAATTTTATTGGGAAATTATTAAAAGTTTCAGTAAATATAACATATTGTTACAATGTCGAAAAATGTCGTATTTAAAATCTTTTATGGCTGTTTTATTTAGCTTTTATTTTATTTTATTCAATTTATTTTATTCAATTTATTCAATTTATTTTATAAAAAAAGAGAATGCCAGAAATATAGCTTACTTAAGAGAAATTTAAATATAACTTCGAACGCAGTATTGACGTATTCATGTACTCACACTAATGAATTAAAAATGTTTAAGCAGTAATATATATATTTGGTCAATAATTTTATCTCGTACTATTTGACTCTTCATAGTATATAGCCTGTCGTACGCGCTTAAAAACAGATCTTTGCGTATATTTCACTTGATATTATCATGTTTATTCATAATACACTAATATAATTATCAAAGCTTTAAGGTCATTACATTGACTTCGACTTTCATTTATATGTACTCAATAATTAAAAATTAGCATAAATATCTTTGCGGAGACCAACATTTATATTATACCTTTGACGTTTCCTTTCTTTATTTTGTCATTTTTTGTATATTTGTACATATTATGTACGTAACCATTTGACAATATAACACATTTCCGAATTGTGCATCGTATTCTGTTATTTCCCCTCTTATATAATTGAAAAATCTACTGTAATTAATATTATTTTTAATATTTTTGATTCATTATTGATGAATTTGAGATTTGCTGATCTCAAATACATATAAGTTAATTGCAACTCAAAGAGAAAATACGTATATAATGCATAATATGTACATATGTAATCATGAAAAAGAGACAAACGGTAACTTTATCGACGCAATGAAAATACATATTCATTTGATATGTCTGATCACCAGGTGGCGCTGACTATCTCGATCAGATGTATTCAAATCATTTTTTCATCGGCAGAAAGGAATAACTTCTTTTTAATTATTTTAATCACAGAGGAAAAGTGGACATTTACCAGTTTAGCATTAGATATAAGCGTTACGGTAGAAGAATAAACTATCATTTATCTCTTTTTTTCAAAACACATGTATTCTTTGCTATCATAGAGGATAATTAGCAAAAGTATGATTTCATATCATACGATCTGCAGCGAAACAAGAGTAAATGAGTAGGAGGTAACCTTTCGACGTGTACACGCCTCGGTGATCTCGGTGAATTAAAACGATAGCCGGTATCGCATGAATGTATCAAATTTAATTAAACCGAGTCACGTTAACGTTTTACTACTGCAAGAACCAGAATGGCGATTATTCTTCTGCTTATAGATTTATGCCAGAATTATAATCGTGAATTCCGTATATTTTTTGGCGCTTATATTCCCCTGAAATTATGTGAGAATGACTTTGGCAAACGGCCAACGTTCCGCGGACTGTGCGGAGACAACATGTACGGAGCAACGAACTTTAGGAAGCATCACTTCGAACAAGATTCTTTCTAGTCGTCCAGATTTTTAATCGTACAACTTATTGGCAGAATACGATGCTTTCTGTTTCCTCTTCCAATTTTAATTATCGTAGGTTATGTTAAGCAAATAGAGTAGATAATTTTCTTGCCTTCTTGCTTATTGCAGTAACAATAATTAATAATCAATTTCTTAAGAATTATACAGACATCACTAGATTACAAAGAAACAATCATGAAAATTGTTTTTGAGATTATCATGGTTTTCGATAAGAAACCAAAGATTTCGCTTAACCACCGGTTATTAGAGGCATTGTTCTTCCAACGGAAGCGAGAAACTGCCTCGGGTCATAATATTCCCGGTGTACACGTTACGAATGTGTGAAGAGATAAAGTATTCTCAGTAGTGTGCTCGGAAACATTCTTAACATGGCACGCGAGCAGCCGTAGCCATGAGTATTCAGTTAATTCCACGCAAGTGGTTGCTTTTGTGCCATCAGCGGTGTAACGGCATTGTTGCGATAAAATGAAATTACTCGTATGCGAGTATCATCAAGAGACGTTGAAACTCTTCAATGGAATGATCGTAAGGCGGCTGTGGCTGTAATTCAAGCCGCGACGTGCATCGTCCTTCAGGCAGGACCGATTGCATCGATTTCCCGCGACGCAGCGGTCGATTTTGAATTGTAATTACCGCATTCATCTCGCGTAGCACGTAGCACGCTTAAGCACGCTGCAACGGCAACATACATGCCGCATCCCGGTGCATCTACATAGATGTAATCCGAGGACTGGTAACTTTGTTGGAAGTAATTTTCGCCGAGTAAGAATAATTTCGCGTTCACACGTCGCTTGGAGCTTTCGTCAGTCGAAGTTAGGGCGCTGCCTAGGCTGGAGGTTAGGGTTGGCTGGAGTCGAGAGAGGAGCCATGGAGGTTTGGGGTTAACGGTATGGTGGTACTGGCGACGACGGTGGTGGTGGTGGTGATGGTGGTGGTGTGGTATGGTAGTGGTGGTGGAAATGGTGGTGGTGAGAGAGCAACTGCGCAGATCCCAAAGTCTTTCAGCCGCGAGTACGTAGGCAAACTCCGATTCAGTAAGGACTGACTGTTCCCGTTTGCAGTGCAGCTCGAAATCTCAGGGAGAAACCGCGGTCTTTCGTCCTCTCTTTTTCCTTCTCTTTCTCTTTCTGTCTCTGTCTTCCTATCTTCCTATCCACTCTGTCTTTGTTTTCCGTCTGTACCATCCTACTCTAGCCATCCACTCTCTTCTCTCGCGTCTTTTGTTGTTAGTTCCTCTCACCGCGGCAAAGTACGTGCTTAACTTTTTCCGTTTGACCGACTGTCTGTCTGTCTCTGACACGAAGTTCGTGGCACGAACTACTGTTTCGATTCTTTTTCGAAGCCATTCTGGTACACGCTAGATTGCTGTTCGCGGACCGATGTACTACACGAGCGAGCGGGGCTCGTGTCTCGCGCAAATTCCGACTGTTCCCCATGGTTAGTCACGTGGCTGGCCAGTGATTCGAGGAAATCTGGTTGGCTTCGTTTCGGGATACCGTACGAACGGTGCGTTCCGGATGAAAGGTGCGTGTGCCAGTTGATCAACGCTCGTTCGACCGTTCGACTCGGCTCTTGCAGCTCGGAATCGAAGTCCCGAGGACGTGTGTGCAAAATCGACGGTGGACCGCAGGTCGATGTGCACAACTCTGGAGAGACGTACTGAAACTCCACGTCTGTCGGTGTAAGTATACCTAACCACCCTTTTCTTTCACGCTGACAATGAGTCACGGACGTATCCGCCTCTGGCGGCGAGTCAGCTGTACGCCAAATGAAACGATTGTTTTTTTTTCTCACGTAATCATATAAAATAAATTTGTACGTGTTCTATTTAGTTAAATGTAATTGTAATTCTATTTCGTTGGCTTCTTTTGTTACTAAGAGTGTATTTATATGGTTCCAAAAGACCTCGAAGCAATTGTTTGCCAAAGAATAGTTCAAAGCTAAAGACTAATTTATAGAAAATTGAACTACGATATTTTTGTACATGTTGGAAACGATTGTTGAGTTGAATGTAATTATAAGTAACTATTTATTCCTCTCGTTGCAAAGGGCGTATTTATACGGCCTCAAAGGTAATCATCAATAACTATTTACTAAAGAACAGTTAGTATTTATTTGCCTCAAAGGAAAATCATTTGCCAAAAGCGTATATATACATTTTCTTTAGTATAGAATCATCTTTATTTACATTTACATCTATTATACTATAATTAATTATACGAATATATTTTTATTATATTAACCAAAATAATTTCAACTTGTATCAAATAGTACCGTAGTAAAAGAGTTAACAACGTATTATCACATTATAAATTATTCATTCTTTCCATTGAAGATTTGAATTAATTGTTATAAGAGATTAATTATACTTTATCTCGTTTACCGAGCGTATTTTAATGTATCGGCTACATACGTAGCTCTATCCGTTCGTAACGACCTTTCAGAGCCATTAACTTATTAAAAGATTAATAATCATGTAATATACATTATATGATGGCAGAATGATTTATAAAATTAATTTTCATATGATAGTGTCCACAAATAGGACGTTTCATCCCCTACATGATAACCAACGGCAAAATTCGATTCAGCAACACCTGCCGGTGCAGGACGTCGATATTTTATTCGAGCAACAAACCCTCGCTGCATCGACGACGCGATTAAGATCTCCTTAACCGGCGGCAATTTTCGATGAACGATCAAACAGGCGCGGGAACGAATATTATTACCAGGCAAAGGTTAATATGATTTCGCAAAAATCCGTGGTCACAAAAGCCGGCACGGTTCAATGGTTTATCGTTAAACGTGAATATAACTGCAGGCAACGGGTGAATCGAGCCAGCCAGTCACCGATTCCGTGGACTGTTAAATATATTACATCGCTTCTATCGCGAGAAAACATATAAGCTCGAACTTCATAATTATTATAATTTCCTAACCCGTTTGATATTGATACCCGAACTGATATTGTTAGCGAAATTCTGTAAGTTACAAGTTCTAATAAATACCATTACATAACGGTAACTACAAATAAAGTTCTGTAATAGTTAATTTTAGCAAGATAATTGATCAGTGATAATTGATAACGAAAGCGAATGAAAAATTATAAAAATTATTTATGCAGCATATGTCTATAATCTAAAACCTGACACTTGTCGACTCACTAAATTTACTAGTCAGTAAATTATTGTGCAAGAGAGCTCCGATATCGAGTGAGTGGAAGAAGGGATGGTCGACCGTACAGGGGGATGGAGATATACTTCTAATCCTGATAACTCTCTTTCACAAGGGTGGAACCCGTTAATGAAATGCACCCTTACCCCGTTCTCTGGATATTACTATTTTTCCATGGAAAAGCCGACCGAAAATATTCTTGGCGATTATTAACATCGGCTTATATCGCGCTGCCAGGTATTAAATACGCGACGGAATGCGCGTTTTCGACCTTCCCTTTCTTCCGTCCTTCGCGTTGTCTCTTCCCCTTTTTCATTAATCCCTCCATGAAATTAAATTGTTGCCCGTGTTACATGGTGGTTAACGGGAAAATCGGTGAAATTAAAGGACTTCGGCGCTGTGACTCCCTGAGACGATACTCCTCCAAGTAGTCTCAGCAAAGTTCATAAATCATGCGTGCGTCCACTTGTTCCTCATCGACAAATACTTGCACCCGTGCCACTTCTGGTTCGAATGTCTGATTAATAATGTCCGATGTGTACTCTATGCGAAGCAAATTGCCTTGGTCTCGCAGAATTGCGTTTAATATCGCGACGGGAAGGTTCTCCCCTTCCGGCCACCGATCTTCATCGTCGAACATGCTTGTCCTATTGTTTGCCTTTCTTGCTCACCGTCTATTTGGACCTCGTTCTTTACTTGAAAACAACGAGACGTAATGTTTAATTAAATAATAGTTTAGAAATGATTTCGTGTTTAATTGAACGTGCTGGTTTAGTACTATTATTAAATTAAATATCGAATATTATGTTGCCAATAACGGTACGGTATTGGAATAATAGTACGTTCAATTAAACCTCATTTGATGATAGTAATACTAAATGAAAGTATATTCTAAGTACGTTAATATGTAAAAAGATTATAGTGGAAATGCCAGATAAAAATAAAACATTTTGTTATAGTATCTTTAAAGGCTTCTATCTTTCCTATATTTTTCTAAGATTTTTACGGAAAATGAAACGATTTGTGGATACGTAAATATTTGATTTTTAATACACGGTCGCTACCGTACGACTAGACACATTTTTTTCTACGCGAAAAAAATAAATCCACAAGGTAGAATAAAATTTTGTCAGGTTCGATGATATCGCGAATTAATTTCTCTGTATATTTGTATTATTTTTTATATCTCCTACGTTTGATAATTGGCAAGGTATCAAGTGATTCACTTTTGCAATTCGTTTTATTAGTTCAACAGTGTAATCGTTTTAAGGAGATTTTGTTGGGATTTCTGGGTTTGATATCGTTCGATTTTTATTCATGGAATCGCATTAAATTCATCGTCCATTGCAATAACGACCGTCGAACAATTAAAAGGAAAAATATGAATTTGATACTTGAAAAAATAAAAAAACAGAAATGAAATACATAAAAATGCATTTATTGAGAACAGCTCTCGCGAAGCACTTCAACTTTCCTTTAAAATCGTTTTTTATATCATCGATAATTTTACATTCTACATCTTTATATCTGATGCTCGATTAATTTTCTTTATACTGCAAACATAAGGATAAAACTGATGCATTTATTTAAAAACACCCCCAACAAATTGTAAGAGATATTTTGAATTTTATCTCTTAATTTATTATCGTAGAAGAATAAGCTATGGTGAATAATCGCTTTTTTAAATTGAGAAACAACTTTGCTATCCACAATGTAAAACCAATGTAAAAACTTCACAAAGCTTAATCACCTTAAAAGTAATGAAAAATATACGAAAGTTATGGATCGTACCGATCAAACGAGATTTACAAAAAATGCACTAAATGTAAAAATATTCGAAAAAAAATATTACTAAATGTAAATGTAAAAAATATTCGATCGTAAACTTATGAAATCAAATAATTCTTCCAATCTGCAAATCTACCGGGAATCCATTCTGTCCAATTAAAAACAGTAAGCTCTCGTTGCAAACAAAGCCAGCAGATTTCACACAATTAAAGCGGAGGTTTGAATGCAGCGTCCGATACGATTGCTTTCGAATCGATCTCCGAGAATTGGAAGAGTCCAGAACGAGCTCTCTAGTCTTGCAGTAAGACTAAAGAAACGGATTCAAGGTATGATTATCTGGAATCTCGCGCTTGTTTCGTCGTTGATGTTTTTATCGTTAGAGGTAAAATACGATGAAAATACGGGAAAGGAGGAATGAGATAAAAATTGCGAAACAGGCAGGGTAAGAGCCCCCCGAGAAATTTTAATAACCGCCAGGGATATCGGCGCTGGCTACTTTTTCGAACCCGGAATGGTCGATCGACTTCCAACTCACTCGTGGTAAATCACACAACTCTAACACCTGGCCTCTGTGTGTTCTTCGCTCATGGATGAACGCATTCGCCTCGTGCACGCTATACACTCTGATTAGTTTCCTCCTGGTTGGAGAAAAGGTATTCCTGAGAGCGATCGCATTTAAAAACCGTGGCCTGTGAAAATGGGCCACAAATGCGCCGGGCAAAAAGGCCCGAAGGGGGCGAGATGAAAGTGCACCGAGACAGTTTATGTCCGTGTAGGAATTTTCGCAGCTTCCAACCGAGTTGCATCCGGCAGAGAGGGATGAAAGGAAGAAGCGTTTTCACTGTAGTTATAAACGTAGGACGGAATAGATGTATCGTGGCTTCTTCTTACGCCGTGTATTCAACGTTGTTCGTAAACAATGAGACGATTGTCAACATTCAATGACCACTCTATGATTTTCTTATGAACACTGCGTGTAGATTCATATACAGTTTTCGAAATTTATGAAAAAATATTTCATGTATCTACTATACAGTATTTACAAGAATTTTGGTGTAAACGCTTTAGGGGGCGAAAGTTCTCTTCCATTTTGTGAATCGATTAGAAATCGGCTTTGTTGAAAGGATTTTAGTTTGTCGAAAAGGTCGCAAGGTGAATGCTATTACTTGTTTTTTATTCAAGATATAAATCTTCTTTGTTTGCGCTGCTGGAAATGAAGGAGGTTTTGATGGATGTATTTAGCCGTTGTCTAGTATTACGAGAATGAAAACGAAAAAAGAGAATAGGATTTCAATGGTGTTTGATACAGGATCAGGAAGATTTGTTGGAAAGGTATCGGAAATTTGTAGTTGATTGTTCAAGATTTATTGGTAAATATAACGGTATAGGACGCCAAGGATATTTAAAGTGTCATAGGATTTGACATCTATGATACTCTTTTCTAGTACGTTCGACGACTTTTGTAAAAAATTCCGAGTGCGAAAAATAACATTGATTGAACTTATACTGTTCTCATAAAAAACTAGTTCAAGGTACTTATATACTGAAATACGGGCAACTTTTGACAGATAACAAAGATACGTAATTTTCTAACTCGTCTGTATCTTCAGGCGATACGCTATAAAAAAGCAGAATAGCAATAAAAAGGACCGGTCTTCAGAGAAAATCTGATTGCATCTTTTTTGCACGTGTCCGTTCGTAAACTCAATTATTCGTTCC